GATGTCATAATAAACTCTCGGATTGTCGGGGTGATAGGTATACTCGAATTGGGTAATGAAGCTATCTTCAGGGACCGTGGCAATTTTCAATGAAATTCCTCCGTTCGGATCCGGGTTCACTCGATAGGCCTCAATATAGGTACCAATATTTGGCGCCAGACAATTAATTGTTTCATTAGGGACATTTGCAACACTCCAGACATATACCTCGAAATCACACTGATTCTCGACGGCAGCGGTCCCGAGGCAGGCAACGGACGAGGTGCAGACCAATGTCACAGCAAGGACGAGCCGTCTCAATCCAGCCATGTCGAAGGCTAAGAGATTTCTGTGGACCTGTTGACAAGGCTGAGTCTAACTGACAAAGATGTGTTGCTGCAGGGCCCCTTATTACAGTACTGCATTAAAGAAGCAGTATAATATCATTACAAGACACCAGCCTTTAATACTCAGGTAAAATCATTGAGGCTGACAGCGCCCAGAAACGGCCCTTGAGCCATGGGAGTACATGAAAGATTGAGGGAGCCGAATCGAGCAGAGAGCCGGTAATGGTTCCTTTTCCATGCCGCTGAGCTTTCGGAGAGTGATCAATGCGACATGATGCGTGTGCTCGGAGGGTGATGCCAACGTGAGCCTTACATACTATCACTTGGAACGCAACAGTGTTCCCAATTCATTGGTTTTTGGGGTTGAAATAGTGCAAAAGAACACGTATGAAGTTACTGGATTTCTATGTAGGAGGATTTAGTTCTAGGCCAAGGGGCTCCTCCTGAATGCTCGAAGCGAAGCCCTTGAGCAATAGAAAGATCGTGTCTATGACTTCCCTACACTTAACGGCATCATCATTCGATTTCTTCGCCTCTGCTTTCCATTTCTGGATATACTCTTCAAGCTTTCGACAATCCTCTTGGGCCTCTTTCACGGCGATCGTCATTCGAGCCGCCTCCTCTTCTGCCTTCTGTCTCACTTCCGACTCTAGGCTGGCTAGCTTTTTCCACTCGTTCAGCTCACGGGCTAAACTCTCCCCAGTTTCCTCAAGCTCGTTGATCCTTGCCGTGAAACTCACATCTGATTTCACGAAATAACCCTGCTTTTCACGTATTCAGTCAGCCTGATGGCATGGGTGAACGAATCCACAACAGTAGTATCTACCTGCACATTTCCTGGGAGGATCGTCCGAGATGACTTTCTGGAAGGTTTCCAAGTTGCGGCGACACAGTTATCGTCTATACGCTCACATAATGTTTGGAGCGACTTAATGGAGAAATCACTCAGATTCTTTGCAAAGAGGTGCCTTATTGCTTCGGTTTTTTCCCATGTATAAGGGTCGTCGTCGCTTGTTTTGAGTCGTACCTGAGAGGGATCGACCGTAATTCCAAGTCTGCTGTCTAGAGAGAGTCGTTGTCAGAAATGGGTCGAACACATGATGGTGAATCTTACGGATATTCGCCGCTAATTTTTCTCGACATTTCCGATTCCACTCCGTTCGCTTTTGGTTCTTGGCCGGATGCTTGGCCATCCGTGGAACATAATCCCTTCTACCTGTGTCCTTTCTGCCCTTCAAAATATCTATATTTTCTTAATGTATGACTTCGGAAAGGTCTACGGTAGGACTGAAAATCAAAAGCCGTTTCTGCGAGCAGTAAATAATTAAACTACCTCAGGGTAAAGACAGAATCTTTTCGGGTTCCCTTTTGGATAATCTACCCTTTTCAGCCCCTCAGCTCAGGCTAGCTAACACTTGGAGTCCCAAAGCGGCGCCTTCGAGCTTCCCCAAGAATTTAGTAAACCACTGTGATTAAGTACAGGACAATGAAGCAACAAAAAATCTTCGGGTGAGTCGTTAAGCTATTCTACATAGAACAGATAATTCCTTGGAATTTATGTGGTTTCAATATTCTTCATTCTTTTGATAATTCCTTAAGTGGAACAGGGGTTTCCTAGTACAGTATTAAGGATCAGTTATGATCGAAGTCGTCAAGAATTTAAGAACAACAGATAACGAGTGTCACACCTAGCTATCGCCAGTTAAACACAGCCTCTGACTCTGATCCGCGAGAGATTGAGCTGATCTACAGAAGTTCTTCACACCACCGAGATACAGTAACCAATCTTGAAACGATAGTCATGCACAGGCTCTAACTTTGCATTAGGGCTTCTACAGCATTCATCTAATACCTGATTTTGCTTCCACTGCCCAGGACCTAGATATTATCCCCCTCTTCTCATTCATCTGAGCTCATGTATCTCAGAGAATGGATTATATCAGGAGCAGAACCGAAAAGGCGACAACTGCTCCATGTCAAGGCCAAGATGGGCGTCACAAACGACCTCTGATAAGGTATAAGACCGGCGCGAGAACTGTCACATGGCGGGAGATACCTGATTGGCATCTCGATAACAAGTATATTCTAGGTGGCTATCGACAAGAGCAAGCAGATTACCTGAGTATTCTTACCAGTCTGTCATTTTTACACAACGAGACTGGTAACGTGTACACTCATTTAATCGGGGCCATCGTTTTACCACCCGTCGCCACGATGTTCCTGCGTCACCTAGGCCAATCCCAGAGTCTTAATGTCTCGACCATGGACTATGCTATCTTTGGCACTTACTTTGGGAGTGCCGAGATCTGTTTAATTCTAAGCACGATATATCACTTAACGCTATCTCATTCTTATTGCACAGAACAATTCTGGCAGGGAATGGATTTGGTCGGAATTGTCATCATGACAGTTGGCACATTTTATTCTGGAATCTATTATGTTATGCTTTGTGAAGCGAACTTACGAAGGCTACACTGGGCTATTGTTTGTTTCTCTGAGCTATTGTCGTCGACATGCTAATATAATTTTCAGATTCTTATCACAGGTGCTTTCACCGCTACTGTAACTTCGAACCCTTTGCTCAGGACGCCGCGTTGGCGGAAAGTAAAAGTGAGCACGTTCATCGTATTTGGCGCTTCATCCTCCATTCCTCTTCTCCATGGAGTGCAACGATACGGGCTCGAATATATGATCCAATGTGCCGGATTGAAATGGTACCTGCTCGAGCTTACTTTCTATGGCTCTGGAGTTTGATTGTACGCCGTACGTCTACGCATTTATCGTGTCATTTCTTTAATTATTGAAAATCATGTTACAGTCTCGCCTGCCGGAGCGTTTGGCACCGGGTACATTTGACATTTGGGCAAGCTCGCACCAGATTTTTCATATTTCCATCTTGTGTGCAATGTACACACACGTGGTCGCTCTCATACAAGGCTTCACGACGAGTCATACACTAGATGTGTGCCAGCTTCTGGGCGTCAGCCGAGCAAATTGAAGCGGACTGGCTACTCTAGCGTCTTGCCTAGAAAGGGATGTTTGCTAGAGAATAACAGAGGGACATGTGAGGACGAAACATCTCCTGAATGAGGAGGAGGAACTTAGGCTCCTTTCGCCTGTACAATAGGTGCAACTAAACTCCCTAGTTATCGAGGTCAGACTGGACAATTCATCCTGTTTAGCCCCGACTACTGCCCATTCCTGCAAGCCGTCTAACATTTAGCTGCCATGGTGGTATCACGTGATTCTGCTCAAGGGTGTTTTGTGATCATTGATAGAGAGCTTGCCTAATCACGACGTGCAACTCCTCATTATCGTCTTCGCCTATTGTTGTACTGAGAAGAGGTCGAGGATGGTTTTGCTTTTGTCCGTTCTTGATGTTTTGAGGGTATAAAGGGAAGGTCTCCCCACGGCTCTGATCTTCGTTCTCTTTCTTTTTTGCCGATCCCTACCGTCGCACCAGTGCCTTCAGACGTGACCGAAATGCAACCAACTCTCAAACTCGATCATTTTCTCAATGACGATGATTGTGACATTCAGGTCGGATCTGGCTCGGTTGTGGACGCTGCTCTTGATATGAGAAAGAAGTTCTCTTCGGTATTGAGCCAGGCACGACATCGCAAGCCAAACAAGCTGAACTTAAATATGAACGACAGCAACCGGACCTTCGAGCTATCAGCGAGACTAATTGAAACAAGCTCAGACAACAAGTCAGCAGCTTGCGACAGTGTAAAGATGATTACAGATCGCTACGTCTTCAGGATAAAGCAATGGCCAGTCATCTGGGCGCGAAAGGAATTGGAGAAGGTCGATCATCCTCGGTGCACCATCTGTACGGTGGCATTCAGGAATAACATCCTTCCCGGTGGTCACACATCCTGGAGAGAATGCTTGGATTTCTGGCTCGGCCAAGGCAACAGCTGTCCGTGGTGCAAGCGAAGCTTTGAAGCAGGCGATATCCGAGATGTCTACCTTTAGCAGTCTTTCCTCCTCCTCCGGAGGTAGTCTCAATAACACCGACCAAAGTGAATCCCGGAATCTCTGTCACGAACGTCTCGATGGACGCGGGAAATGAGCTTTCGGACGATCTCTCCATCGAGACGTTACGCGCGCTGTATGAGCGCGACACAACGACCCCGGTGGCGGTAGTGCGATCTGTCTACGAGAGAATCGCCGCATACCCGGACAAGGCAGTCTGGATCACGCTTCTGCCGCAAGAGGAGGCGATCAGAAGGGCGGAGGAGCTTCAAAAACAATTGGCCGTATCCTAGTGAGAGTCCGGATGCCCTTGGAGAGGATGGTGACGTGACGGATGTTATCTCGCTGCCTAGCGACAGTGAGTAGAAGGCTCTCTCATGCTCGAGAGTCACAGTATAGTGAGTGTCAAAGCCAGGAGGGCAGCAGACGAAGATGATAGGAAGTCAACGGATGTTTCCCTTATCATTATGGTAGTGAAGCACGGTGCTATCCTGCAAGCGAGACGATAAGGCATTCAATATATTGGTGATAGCCTCAAGGTGGTAGCAGGGATGATTGGACTGTGCGCGACAATAACCAAGGAGGATTCGCAGAATCGTTATCGAGCAATGGAGTTCATTGGTCACAAACAAAGCCGACAACGCGCTTTTCAGATCCTTTCCCAAACCAGAAGGACGACGAGACCAAAAGGGTACGTTCAGGCCTCTCAGTAGGATAGTGACGGGACCCATCCTGCCTTATTCTCCTATAAGAAGGATGTCTCTTTTCGTCTCTTGCTGGAAGGCTTTGCTATAAAAGCAACTCGCTCCCTCACGATGACTATCAGGCAAGTCGGATTCGCGGACGGAGAAGAGCCCCTGGAAGGGCTCAATTCCGCCCGTTCAACCCTGCGATTGGAGCAGATTGCAGGCCTCCGGGCACGCGGCATCGCAGATCACATTGGACTGCCGCAGTTGGTCGTCAGTGGGGACCAGTCTACAGGGAAAAGCTCCTTGCTGGAAGGTATAACGGGCATTCCTTTCCCAAGGCAGGACGGCTTATGCACCCGGTTCCCGACAGAGATTCTGCTGGAACACACCTCTAAGGGTGACCCCATCATCAATGCGTCCGTTATACCATCAGCCGATCGCACAGATGAGGAGAAACAAAGAGTTGTCCGCTTCCATCGCCGCTTGTCCAGCTTCGAAGATCTGCCGGTGGTTATCGAGGACGTCAGTCGACTTTTGGGCATCAGGGGAGCCCAGAGCGAAGATGGACCAGCATTTGCTTCTGATGTGCTTCGCATCGAGGTCCGTGGCCCTGTCGGCTTGCATCTGAGCATCGTTGATGTACCAGGCTTGATCTCTGTTTCCAACGAGGAGCAGACCGAGGACGACGTAGAAATGGTCCACAGGATCGTGGACGGCTATATTTCCGATCCGCGGACTATTATCCTCGCAGTTGTCCAGGCAGGAAATGATATCGCCAACCAACCCATTATCAAAAAATCTCGCACGTTCGATAAAGAGGGGGAAAGGACGGTGGGCATCATCACGAAACCAGATTTGATCAACCAAGGTTCAGAGAAGCGTATTGCGCTGCTGGCATCAAACAAAGATACTACGAAACTGAAGCTGGGGTTCTTCTTGGTGAAAAATCCGGCCCCGAATGAGCTGACGAAAGGCATTACACCTGAACAGAGACAAAAAGATGAGATCCAGTACTTTCACACTCCTCCATGGAAAGAGCAATTCCTCGATCCCGCACGATTGGGTATCGTTGCGTTGCGAACATATCTACAACAACTTCTCGACCGACACATCGAGAAAGAACTACCTAAAGTTCGACACGATGTGCAAGAGCTGCTTCAGAAGACTGAAGCTGATCTAGCGACCATGGGAGAGGAACGTGACAGCGCTTCGAAAATGCGCATGTTTTTGACTCGCTTGACCATGGCATTTAACCAGCTCGTCACATCCGCACTAAACGGGACGTACGACGATGTCGATATAGTATTCTTCAATCTCTACGAGAAACACAGGCCTCGTCGCTTGCGGGCTACTATTCAGAACTTGAACACCAAGTTCGCCGACACGATGAGAGAGCGTGGGGCAAAGCGGCGGGTTGTCACTGACGTGGAGGACGACCTTTCCGAGGCGGAATCTAATGAGGACAACGCCGGTCAGATGCTGGTGTCAGAGAAGGACATGAAACGATGGGTCGCCGAGGTTAATACCACACCATCTCGGGTCTGATAAATGCAGCTGACTGTCTACAGGTTTACCGAAACAGTCGCGGGAAAGAACTCCCAGGGACGTACAGCCACATCCTCCTCGCGGAGTTATTTCACGAGCACTCTTCTCGCTGGATAGAGATCGCAAAGGACCACGTGCAGACGATTGAGGGTGTCGTCTATGGATTTGTGGACGCCGCGATCTACCACACTTGCCCTGACAAGAACGTCGCTGACGAAGTCATGGAATTGGTCAGGACGAGACTTCAGGAGAACATGAGCAATGCGACAGAAGAGCTGCAGAAGCTGTGGCAGGATGAACAGTATCAGCCCATCACGTATAATCACTACTTTACCGACAATATCCAGAAATCCCGGGAGCAGATCACCAAGAATGCTCTCAAAGATGCGGTGGTCGAGACCAAAGAACACGACTGGCACGGAAAAATGCACATCAGTAATGTCCAGCTGGAAATGGACCGGTTCATCGCGTGTTTACAACAACGGGTCCAGGTCAATATGACCGAACAAGCATGTGATGAGGCACTGTGGGGACTACGAGCTTACTATAAGGTACGGTACAAATGCCACGACTCTGAATACTCCTGACTAATTCAATCAGGTGGCCCTCAAGACCTTCGTCGACAACGTTTGTAGGCAAGTAATAGAGCGTCACATAACTCGCCCACTTGCATCGATCTACTCTGCCGAGACTGTGGCAGGACTCTCCGACGAAGAATTAGCCAGGATCGCTGGTGAGACGCCTCAAAGATCAGCGAAGAGAAAGCAACTGGAAGATTTGCGACGGAATTTGGAGTCTAGTCTCGTGGATCTCCGCCGCACATCTACGATTCCCTGATTATGGATTAGGATTGTTGGTTCTGCTCAGCCAGTTGGGGGAGTGTGAAAGTGCTGGATCTCGTCCTTTTGTCTCTGTTCAGGTGTCACGCTTTTGTCTCTTCAAGGGCCTGGGGCTTCCCAACAGAACTCCCCATCAAATCTGGTGTCCTTTCAACAAGGGCCATTGTCATCATGAACACGATTGAGTATTTAAATCAATTTTCAATGCCTTTGAAACTATGTCTCGTTTCGGCTCAACGGTGACCGATAGCCTGCGCCAATGATTTAGGCTACCGTAGCTGGCCCGCGAGCAGTTGGAGACCCTCGGGCGACTTTGGCAGGTCATTGAGGTTGACAAGGTGTATTTCGCTTCTCGATGCATGTTCTCGAAGAGTTTCTGCCCCTTTTGAATTGCCGTAGGCATAGGGCACAGTGGTATGTGTCTTCTGATACCTTGTATACAAACGACTCTTGGCGGGCGACCGCAGCTATCTTCAGCTTCCCCGCGGCTGACGAGATGTCGCGTTCCAGGAAGGAGATCGATGTCGTGCGGTGAAGCTTCTGGGTCGAAGCGCTTTGCAGTGTGGGCACTCCGAACCTTGAACTTGAATGGCTCAGCAGAGCTAGTGGTGGCTACTGTTAGACCTACCGCATCCGGGCCCAGTGAAGCGTAGACTGCGGCGAGCAGTCTGAAAGCCGGGTCACCAGGAATGTCGACTTCCATTCTCCAGTTGCAGGGTTGCTTTTAGTGAGACGGGCTCTGCCTGGCTATCACGGCGAACCAGCTCTGAGCACCCGAAGTAAGGTCACGTGTCGTTGAGACCAATTGGGGGGCTTTGGGATACTAGTGGCTTTTTAGGCTTCGAGATTTACACTTGTGTATGCAAAGGGCTCGTTGGCAAAGGTCTCGGCGCCTGGTCAGGATCCTAAGATGGCGCATAAACTTCAGGTATCTCAAACACTCTTCATCCCAGTGCTCATCTACTGCATCACTTGTGATCGACAAGTGGGTGGGCCACGCGTACAGTGGAAACGTCAGACTCCGAGCACAGGCCCGTTTATTGCTGGCGTTTACGAACTTCGTCTGGTTGGTCTGAGGGCACTCCTCAACGGAGCATTGTTGCCATATAGGTGAAAGACCTAAGCGCCTGGCCCAGGTGACATGTTGATACTGTATCACACGGAGAGGCTCGCCTGAAGTGACGAGATCTCCTCTGATTGGTCTGATAGCACTCCTGTCTGGCATCATCGCCAAAGAGGAGGGGCGCTACAAGAGCTGCTCCCTCTGGTCGAAAGCCTCGAGACTACGATCGGCCAAAAGAACCGCTACGTAGCCCGGGCCTAGGCAGGATAGAGGAGTATAGTTCGAGCTGCCGAGCAGTCCCACGTGATTGTGTACTGAACTATTGTATTCGACCACCATCAGGAGCAAGTTTTACTACTCTCAATCTCCCAGTACAGCGCCACCAACGCCAATGCGAAGCATCCAAAGGGTCCAAGCCACACTCCATTCTCGAAAAATGAACTTGGCCAAAATCACCACTAATAAAATCAACACTGCGGTCAATGCGAAGGCGCCAGGTTGCGATGTCAAATAATCGTCCAACCAGAGCGCCTCAAAATCCAGTTCACCTAGACGAGGGCAATGCCATTCGTCAAGTTTGGATAGTATGTCTCTATAGGTCTCGGTCAGCCTCTTTACATTGCTCCAGGTGCTGCTTACTTATGACTCTTTATCAGATTCCTATCCTCGAATAAATAATTTCCTCTAGCAAGGTTTGGATCAGAGAACACAAGTGGTAAAAATCTCAACATGTTATGACCCAGGAGGTGCCTCCGTGCAGCGAACATCTCCCGCTCAGGGCATTCGATGAACTCCGCTTGCTTGCTAACACAGTCGGAGCCGCAATCAGTGCTGCCTATGGACGAATCGTACTTGCAGGCGGGCTCTTGGGGCTGATATTCAGCAATTGTAGTCTCATGGCGCAGCTTTTCGTCGCTCAACTTTACCGAAAAAAATGCTACGGATCTTAGATTGTACTTTCTGGGACGAAAGGGTCCCGCAATCGACACCTGCCAAGGTCAGCCTACGCCACATTGATATCTCACGGCGACTGCTTCGGCGTACCCGTACGACCTCAATCTGTCAAACGTTTAGGAAAGGTATATATCGTCTCCACTTTCCTCGGCTTTTGTATCATTCTTGACGAATCAACTGCCAAATTGTAACATCATCCACCGAGTTGGGGATCCTAGCAGCCACTATCTCGCAGTGACTGCTTCGCCCCCAGCAAAGGAAGATATGAGAACTATCTGCATTCGACTCACTCAAAATTGGGGCAATTAGAGACATCAGCTCTTCTCTGCGGTTTGAATGCATTAAGCCCAGGTCGAGTTCTGGTAGATTACACCGTCTTTTCACATGAGATGTTTGAGACATTGTAGCTTCGTTTGTTGTTCCTAGAACAGGAGGCTGTTCGAAAGATGCAGGATCAGCTGCTGCTGAAACCACTTTCGCATGGACGCGATGGTCTTGCACGACGCGCCTAACCGGTAGATCTGTGATACAATGTGGCAGAATAGGAGTCGGATGAGGACGAGGCCGGAATTTGCTAACGAGTCTATTTGTGTCAATATTGTCTCTTGCTTCGTATAGCGTCCGGTATGGTCGATCCTGACGAGGTTGATCCGGCGTGCATCTGACAAGAGAATCGGGGCTCGGTAAATGTGATGAGCTGTTCGATGGTCGCAGAGAAGCCTTTCTTGGCTTCTGAGGTTCCTGACGTTTTCTGGTTTCTAGTGAACTCATTACGGTGATATTACGTGGCGATGATTATAGTGTACGGGCAGCCCTCCATATTATATGTAGTACTGCTAATGCCAATAAACGATGCTCTAGCAGCTGAGTTGCTGTAGCGCCCATCCGCACGGCGTAGGCCATACAGGAAGTGCCACTTTAAAGGGTCGTGGCTGCACTGTCCAATGAAACACATTTTTTTCTCGCACCGGTTACACCGGTTATGCCTTGTCGTCAACCCGAACTAATAAATCTTTCTACGTGTTGAAGCCGCGGGGCTCTGGTTGGCTCAATGATCATGCTAAGAGAGTGCGTGTCGGCAGAATTGGGTATCTGGGATATTGGGACCATTGATAGAGCTCTCCATACCTTCTCGTGCTCCCAGCACCTTTCCAAAGCCCCGTCTGACGGGGGAGATTGACAGCAAGGCTGAGTGGCTCCAGTACTACACTAAGGAGTGCACTGCCACAAGCTTTCAATGAGTCTGTAAGGTGGTGAGATCCATCGCTAGCGCATAGAAGGAGAACAAGAAGCAAAATCAGATTTTTGACATCCTATGGGAACGTAGCTTGTGTTGATGGCGCACTAACAAGTCTTGAGGATTTGAAGAAGCACTTCCTTCTCTAGGGTAATTCTGAGAAGGGAGTTTTGTTGCGACATAAGGCTCAACCAACTATCATGACATTCCTGAAAGTCTCATGGAATCATTCCGCATGCTTGGAAATTGTAGGTAAGCTTCTAGTATGTCGCTTCGAGGTATGTACATATGTGTCTGCTTCCTTACGGAAGTGGGAAGGCAGAATAATCCGAATCAGAAGAATGTATTCTTCCACTGCCATAATTCACGACAAATACAAGGGCCATTTAACATTGGTATACAGTATATATCCACTCCCCGATCGTTGATGAAAGCAGCATTTACGAAAACGAAGCAGATATCGATTTGCTAGAGCAAAGCTCGCACAGTATCCGAGACTTCACTTCTTTTGCACCCGAGATATTTATTCCATCTGCTCATCCAAGATATCTGTAAAAACTGTACTAGAGGCTTCGACAGCTATCTAATTAGCGTCAACGAGAGGATAACTTCCATACCCCGTCCTGAGTTCACTTTCTTCCGGCAGCTAAATTGATGGCCAGCATTAATTCGACCCTTCTAGCCACACTCCCTTTTGAAGCATCTGCATACCACCACCATGAAGAGGTTTACCGCCTTGAACCCAACCCAGTCTAAGCCAAATCTTCAAGTCTTGCAAATTCAAACCATCCGCAAAGAACCTATTAAGTATATCGAGGGTGCAATGCATCCACCAGTAGTACCTAGACTTGATTTCGTTATCTGAACTTAAATGTTCTCTTGCATAACTCACTAACAGCCGGGCCCTTTGTCAGTAGGTACCTCGTGGTACCGGATTCGACGAGTTGATCTAACCACGTACCAACATAAATATCTTGTTTCGTTAATATTGGTCAACTTTTATAACAACCTTGCAATGTACCGTTATGAAATGTGGACGGCCGCTCGTTACACACGACTATGGTCTTGCCGTGTGGGTCGGCTTCCTTTAGCTCGATGAACACCCATCCTCGTATTACACGTCTTCAGAACCAGGGCCTAAGCATTGGACTCTGTAGCTTGAGACTCGGGTTGCAAGGCCGCGAGGTAGCAGGAGACGACTTTTGCAGATCGAATATGAAAGAAACGCTGAATGGGCTGGATAGACAGCGTTGTGGAGTGGTAATGTCTAAGAGCAAGAAGACTATTGACTGGATAGATGTGGTGATGAGTCATGACGTGCAATAGAAGGAACACAATACCAACGACGAGTCAGTGTTACAGTAAGTTGATGGTTGAACGGAACCAGTATCCATGGTGTAGTTGCTACAATATGTATCAATTGCACATGTCGTCGAGTTTGCAGCTCTGTACCCTATAAGTAGAGTACGGAACACCATAACGCGGGGACATCACCTGATAATTACCTGTCTTGGTGGCTGAGGAGTAAACACATGATAGCTTGATAAGCAGTGGCCACGTAGTTTAAAACACTGGTTTGCCTTGGGATTGTAGTCAGCAACTGCAATTGGTAGGGCCAAGGAGCAATTTTAGCGAATAGTGATAAGGGTTAGTAGTAATAATAAGTATCTACGGAGTACGGAGTATCGCTGCTCATATTCATGTTGAGAAGGAGCGGCTCTATTCGCTGAGAAGCTGTGTGATACAAGTGACATATTGCCTAACCTGGGCACTCGAGACACGAGCAGGGCACTACTTCGTACATCTATAACTACATGATGTCAGAAAGATGACCACTCCGACTATAAATAGGTTCTGCAGTCTAAGGTTAGAGCATTACCTGCCTAACCTCGTAGACCGCTTCTCGGTATGACAGCTACAACAACCCGTGCAGCATAGCATGAACACATTTCAAACGCCACAGTCCCGAAGGGTATGTCTACCGAAATGGCATCGGCCTCTGGTCACTTACACTGCGTAGTTGCCCACAGTCTAGTGCTTTGCACAACGCACCATTACCGTACCTCAGTAAGTGAACATGATTTTCTCATACTGCGGGAAAAGTTCACACGGATACTCACCCTTTCTATGGTCGCTCTACCAAATACACTTGGTTATCTCGTGAAATAGTACAAGGGTCGAGGCAAATTCTTAACATTATAAGACGCGATTGAGGGAGTGAGTCAAAGAGTATCCGGGTTCAATGCGCGCTACTTATTCTCCTATTTGCTTATCTACATTTCACATAGCTCCTAGTCTAGCGAAAGGGTTCACGAGCGTTTCGGGCAGGGACATTTGGTGATTGGTCGTTCAAACAAAGCCCATAATCACATTCGCCTATTTGGCAAACGCAATGTACTCCTCGGACATTCTTTTCCTCTGCACCAAAACTCTGTGTATTGCTAGATACATAACAGAGACAGGCCGATTTCTGGGGTCATTGTCGCGAGTGTCGGCGAAGCATTTGAATTTCGGCAAGGTTTGCATATATATTATGGTCGACCAGTATTCACTTTGCGATTTAAGGGTTTAATAATATCCCATGTGGTGGGTTTGCTACGCTTGATACAGTCGGGCGCAATAGTGAGAGGAGGATATAGCTAGGCACCGAGAGCTTGTCCAGAGCCTCATCCCCGTAGATACTTTTCTGCTACTGCTCACTCAGCGATGTCTCAAAGATATTGGGATCCATACTAGATCTTCGTCTGGCCCTCGTCACCAAGGTATTGAAGAGACGATAATGATCGCTGATATAGAAGTCGTGGAGGAGGAGGTTGCCCATAGGCCTGCGGAAGTTATCTACAACAACAAAACACTCGGGGGAACACTATCAGCCATCAGGACAACTAGGACCATCAGGATCCATGATGACGCAACAAGCGCATAGTTTACGTGGTAAGTTGTCATTGGCCTGGCCTGCACATGCAGCCTCCTGGAATTGACAGTTAGCTTATAACCCAAAGGCATACCAAGGCAGCAGAGCTCGCCAACCATGTCTGGACAAGAACACAAGACAAAATTTTGTCACAGGGATTCATTTATTTTGGTCTCACTAGCCATAAAGATGCCTAATTCAACCGGCCAGGTCTACCTCGAAATTATTGGGCCGTAAATTCCTTGCATGATGCCGGAAGAAGCTGCACCACACCAGCCAGGATTTACAGTAGCTACCCTCTGGTCCAACGTGGACGGTCACTATTGGGCGAAGTGAGTCCACTGGTTGAGGGCAGACGTTGGTGAAGCCATCAATAGCGTCTCTCCTACCTATTTATTGTTGAACAATATCTTCGTTCTTACTGCTGTCCACTCTCCTTAAGTGTTGATCGCGGTAAAAGCATACTCGTTAGGACCACCGATAAATTGAACAACGAAAATGGACATGACAACGTGGTGCAAGCACGAGCTTTTAAAAGGGCTTTCAAGGTAAATGCCACTTAAGAAGCAGTACGACATTTGCTGACGAATATAGTGTCTTAGATTCCGGAAATTTCACTGACCTTACTATCAGCACAAACTCGAAACAGTATCGAGTTCATCGTGTCATCGTCTGTTGCCAGTCTAATGTTCTGTCTCGCATGTGTTTGTCACCTTTCAAGGTATGCCGAGCTTTAAGATTAGCGAAGGGAAATGGGACTGATCAAAGATTCAGGAAGGACAAACTCAGACGATTGAACTACTGGATGACTGCGCAGAAGCCGTGGAGTGTATGATCCGCTTCATGTACATTCTCGATTACAATTTGGATATTATATTTGGCCGATGTGGGCAAACCACAGCGGTAGAAGCAGCCGAGAACGTTCAATCTGATCCCAAAATTGACAGTAATCACAACCCTGCTGACGCAGTGAGTGAGATTCTTCTAGCTGAAAGACCGGATTATATTGCAATAAAAGATTCAGCGGGTGGGTTGCGAGGCGATGAGAAAAACGATGAAGTCGGAAATGGAGTCATCGACGAATTGAAACTACACTGTCGGGTGTATACACTAGCAGAAAAATATGCCATCAAGGCACTTATGTTCCTATCTCGGGAAAAGTTTCAGAAAGCTCTCGAGCGGGTCGATGTCAGCACCCGTCTATTCGAGGTGGTGGATGAGATTTATTCGTCCACACCAGACAGAGAGCGTGGCCTGCGAGACATTATTGTCTCCAAAGTCTATTCAGAAATTCAGTACTGGCTACCACAAACAGAGTTTCATCAGGCTCTGGTTGGAATGAGTTCCTTCTGTGTTGACCTCTTGAAAGAAACGGTGTGCGAAGACCAGAAGGGCTACGAGCAGGCAATAAGGGATCTGCAAAATCCCGGGTGTTGCAGCCAGTGTCAGGAACCACTTGTCCTCAGACGTAAAAACTCCCGACGCAAGAATGTGCACCTTGAAAAGATTTGTGCCAGGTGCGAATATTGGCATTAACGCGATAGTAAGCCGGTACAGTGTAAATCAAAGATCCAACGTTCAGTGAAGTGACTTCCTTGGGCCTTTTCCATTCTGTTGCTTCAGTGTTAATACTGCTTTCTTTGTCTCACGGCGCTTACTTCTCCTTTCGGCGACTTTGGCTCTGCGACGGCCTTCTGGAATTTTGACGCGCAGCGTAATCTTGGACGAACCGACTCGCAGTTGTATGTGAGTGGTATTGCCGGCGGTGAGAGCAACTTCTGTTGCGGAAGGGGTTGTTTCGAGAGACCCAGCAGACCCAGCAGACAGTCTCTCTAAGGGTGCGGATGGCATCGGCTAAAGTAAGTGAAAGCGCCGTATGGAAGCTCAACTGCAGCGCCCATCGTGCGCGTGGTATCGTCACTTGGTGCTTCCACGGCTCGCAGCACCCTCCAGGGTGTCAGTCTGTCCGTGTGTCTCACATATATTGGGTCAATTCGGACTCGGAAGACGATAGCATCACTCTTGAAACCAAGGGTGCTTCAACAATTCCTCCGCAGTGGGTCTTTGCATGGGCTCATACTTCAGAATACTTCGAATGAGAGATGTAATGACTCCTGCCTCCACATCATCAATATCGTTCGGCTTCTGCTCCTCGAATCGAACCTCCAAAGGGTCATCGATATAGGGCTCGTCTCGATCATCAGGACGTGGGCCCAGCCTTTCCCGTTCGGTGCCGAAATAGATTTTAGCTCGCGGCCACCTTTCCTGAAGCCAGGAATCTGGAAGGGGCTCTAGGATGTCATTCATCTGGAGAAGATGTTCATCATCGGTCGTCTTTCGGTCGTCTTCAAAGAGCACCATGACGGAAAATAGTGGAACTCCTGTCAGCATTTCAAAGATGAGACAGCCAAAACTCCAGATGTCAATGCTTGAATCGATCGTTCCACCCAGAATCAACTCTGGAGATCTAAGGGCAGTGGGGATGACGGTTGAATCGGGAGGTTCTTGAGCCCAAAATGCTAATACAAAAATTAGATTTCCGAAAGATCCAGAGGGGAAAACAGACAAAGTTCTTACCAGCGCCGAAATCCGATATCTTAATGTGCATCTCTCGACCAAGTTTGGCGTATCTGACAAGTGACTGGCCTAGAAAAAGGTAACGAGGAGCCCATTTATCCTCTAGCCCGTCAAGTCGGCGAACGGCCTCAGGTGCCGGGTTTCTCCCTCGACCTGACAGATCTTGTCGCAAGTCCCCTTCACTCAGCTGATCAATATTTGAAATAGTAGAAAGGAGATTCCCAGGCTGCAAATCAGCGTGAACAATGCCGTTCTTATGCAGAAATGTAAGCCCAAGCAACGTATGTTTTAGAATCCGCCTCGCCATAAGCTTCGGATAGCGAATGTTAACTTTCCACTCTTCCAAAGGGGTGAGTTCTTCCGCTAAGGAAGCAATGGTAGGTCCCATAGGCTCAGTCACTAGGCAAAGATGAGCGCCATTAGGTCCCAAGTGCTGGAAGGCATCCAGATTAATCAGAATGTACTGAGTTAGAGGATCTTGCGAGCAGCACTCATTGATTCTCTTCAAAATCGAGAGCTCAGTTTTAGCTTTAAGAGAAGCCTGAGCATCCATCACCTTTAACGCCACATAGCGTGAGTTACTGCAATCAATATCAGAATTAGTGTTCTCTAATTGTCGAGGTCATCGGTCGTCACAAACGTTGTGTCCCTTGCCAGCCAGACGGTTGAAAATGACCCATAGCCTAGTTTTCGGATGACCCGGTACTGCCCATCCTTAAAAGTGTCACCCAAGTTGACGGGATGGAGCCAGCCAGGTCGATATGACTCTACCCATTCACTTGGATAACCAGTGTCGTGAAATCGCCACTCGCTTTGGCTTTCCGGTAAAGTTGCCGAAGGGGTAGACGGCGTCGAAGTCATCCTTTGGGTACGAAAAGGTAGCCGGAAAGCGCTGCACAAAAACTAGTCGAAGCATCCAGCGGAAAATAAAGTCCACCTTTGGATGTGATTTACTCAACGTTTGTTCGAAAACCTGGTCAGGTGGAAGAAGTGAGAACAATTTGCCAGGTGAGCAAAGCTGGATATTATTCCCGCCAAATGCTCGGCCGTATGCTTGTTGTCCGCATTGGTACCTAGGCCACGGCAGATTTTCCCGACCTTCTACCCAGCACGATACTCATTGGTCCTTGCCCAACTCCTATTATTAGGTAGAAATAGAGGACATCCCAAATGCCCAACCGCGGTGATGGTAAATTCGAACAACTTGAAACAGCTATCAGGTCACAATACGGGACAAAGCCTATCGCTGCTGTCATTGTACAGCAAATGGGAGGATTTGAGACATTGAATCAGTCGCCTTGTAGGGTGAACCTGCATTTGCAGGAACTTTTTGCACTTGTCGCGCGGCTGCGGTGTCAAATCTATGGGTGCAGTCCACTCTTATCTTGTTTCATTAGACACCCTACCTCAGACCACAGCGCCAGGAAGGGTCGCACATCAGACCTTTCGCAGACCTCTCGCAGACCTTTCGAGGGACTATATGAACCCTGGATACCTGTTCAGAATGCCACATTTACACGAAAGGGCAAAACAGGACATTTTAACTCGACTGAAGTCGTGAAGTTCCAAACTAGTGTTAGCTTGCTACAAAACTCCGTCGCCTTTGTTGTTCATTATGCCTGCGAATCCGAACCTCACCGTGGAATGGGGAAACGCGACGTTGTTCAGAAACAAGCCTGATGCTAAGACATATATCGCCAACCTTGTCCAAACTTATCGCGACACGCCAAGTAGTGCTGCCAAAGCAATTATTCTGTAAGATGGATGTGAGAATTTTACCCGTCAAAAATTAGGTGCTAACCAATGGAAGGACCGGTCCACATAGTAGCAGATCAGATCCCAGGCCACACATCACCGTACGGTATTTGGACCGCAGAAATCAGCCACTTCCAAAAGTCACCCATGTTCACCTACCCAGAGATGCTCCGGACTACGTTACGAAGAAGTAAAGGGAACCTGTTGTATCCTGAGCTATCCGAGGAATGCCTGCATTGATCTGTCTTCGTTCTATGACTCTTCTATCCTGTACTCTCTGGACGAGAGCTTCTACATGTACAATAGTGTCCCCTGTGCTTCATTCTGTTGCAACTGGCAAGATAAACTAGATCCTACTGTCATTGATCCGTATATGGGATGGTCAATTTTCATTGCTTACTCATTGGTCTCTCCTGCTGCTCCCGTTCTCTGCACTCTACCTCATTGCGTTATCTTGCCGTATCTTGGCCATGTTAACAACTGTCATGCCATTGTCGCCCTCGGATAGGCCGAGAAGCTTTACACAACAATGGATCCCCGCCATATCGTACAATCCTAGCCTGTTTCCCCTGTCTTAAGCGTGGACTCTCGTTTCAGGGTATTCCAGGCCATTCAATCTGTTGCAGAGCTCGGAGATCGTTTGTTTAGATGTTTGCAACTTGCTCACATATACTCCGATTGTTGAATTAATTGTATGTCGAAGAAGTACTTCGACAGAGGCTCTAATATCCACATTGTTTGACCTTAGCACTTCTAGTACAGATGTGCTCAGGTTAACGTCATCATCAGCCGTGCCTTCTGCGCTATTGAACCTCTGTGGCGTGGGTGACATATCAAGCGACCTCAGGAACGTTTCTCGAGAAGTGTCACCATTGGAATTCGGGGTTGGCAAGTGAAGAGATGCAATCCTGTCCTTGCCTGCGGAAGTTTGGCCTGGCGGTGTTGCAAGCATCGAAGGCCCAGGGATTGATTCATTGTTGACAGACATAGCCTTTATGGGGGTTCGGGGAACTTGTGGGTTATGTGAGGTGCTTTTCTCTCTGGCAGCAGGTTCATCCTTCTCCCAAAGAAAGAATCGGCACTGGTCCTCGAAAGATTGCGGGCATCTCAAGACTTGATTGTGCCGGTTAGTTGTTGCGAAGGGGCGGATGAGAGTGACACACATGTTTCCCCTTTCGTAGCATCCTTCTGAGATGTCCGCCGTTTCGCAGGCACACCACAGCGTCAGAACCACTCCCCATCTCTGAACTGGCCGTCTTGGACCATGGCAGTTTGGAGAGGCTGTGGGTATATCTTTGGATTATGTTTTTACTGAGAATTTTCCAGGCGACCTGTGAGTACTGTAGGTTTTGGAAAAAGCGCAGTAAGACGACGGGCCAGCCTGCGCAGGGGTATATAAGGTAGATCCCAGCCTGGAAAGGAAGTTTCTGATTGTCGATGTCCGAGCAAAAATGAGATTGCTGTAGCTAGAGCATGTGATACCTAGAACTCGAAATTATGTGGCAAACGACTATTGGTGTATTTCATAACCGGTGTGATAAAGAATGCTTCGTCCGCTGGTTCATGCAATGAGAACTGACTAAAGTACCCCTCTGCGAATCACCTAAGTCATCACAATTTCGTTCTCCACAGTGTCTGATGCATTGTCATATGACTCCTACCTGATCAATGCCATATCTGAGCTCCTCCTCCTCCTCCTCCTCCGTCCGCCTTTCACTTCACGCGCGATTGAGCCCGAGAAATGGTGCGGCAGAACCAGGCCCTAATCAGCGCCGAGGAGAATGAATTCGTCTGCATGTCATGTGACGAACGTGAATTTGATACCGAAGAAGCATTGCTTCAGCATTGTCGAAACGCGTGATGTCATAAGAGCGAATGGTGCGAAAGGTGTCAATGGCTGTTTATCTCTTCAAAGGCATACGAACAACATATCCGTGACTCGCATAATCATTGGGTCTGTTCAAAATGCAGCGTCAACGAGCCTGAAGAAACTGACCTTCGAACCCATATGGGAACCAAGCACTCGTCCTGCTACGACTGTCAATCAGACTTTGCCAATTTAGGGAAGCATCGCGTTCAGCGGCATCATCGATTCTCAATATGCAACGAAGAATTCCAGAATGAAAATGAACTCTTAATGGTACGTGGGCAGGAAAGGTATCTCGTAGCGAGACGTACTTTACTAACACTTGCAAAGCACGCGAAATTCCACGCTCCTCGTCTGGAGAAGTGCTTTGGTTGCGACCGCAATTTCAAAAGCCCCTCCGGAATTCTCACCCACCTCGAGTCGACGCGCTGTGATTCAGAAGTTACGCAAATCGAGATTGATCGATGGGCTTTCGAGTGCCACCAAAGCTACGTCTATACTAATGGCTGGAACGAAGAGCTCAGATACCGGTGTCCCTGCTGCGATTACAGCTTCCCAAAAGTCAGTGGATTGCTTCAACACATTGAGACTGAGGCATGTGCTGCAACTTACAGTGGCATACTAGAGAAATTGAGGAGATACATTAAGCAGCGGGTTCAGAATGCATCAGAATGACAATGTGAATGAGGCTGGCCAGTTACGAGTGCGCAGTCAACCCCTCTTGGAAGTTTTTGTAAGCCCTTCGGTCCTCTTTGTAGACCTGCCTAGTACGACAGGCTTAAACTCAGCTTCCTCGCCACATGAGTGCAGACTGCGTAGTAGTACATAATTTTTGAGGTACTGTTCGTATCAACATGCCACGTCACTCAAACCAATCTCTTCCGCTGTGATTGCCATCGCAATGGTAGAAGTAACTCGAGGACATGATGGCCAACATAGCGGGAAATTACCCCTCTAAGGACATCCTGGTTCCGTCTCGACAACTCGATTTGAGGCTTAATCGCCCTTCTCCCCGCAAACTAGTTCGGCAGTCTCCTAGTAGACAACAAGAGTAGGAAATTGATCTCAGAGGCAGGCACTCGGCGAGATGGTCCCGTCGAAGAATTTCTCGACTGAGAGAATGCTGATGTTGACAGGCAGCAATACTGAAGGTATTTCCCTCTATTCCAGAGATCCCACCGCTAAATGCACAGCAAAAGTAATGGGAAGGACGCTAAAGAAGTTGCCGTGTTCAAGTCCATAACTAGACCGATACGTCCAACGGATCTGTCCCTCTTAGTTCCTGGATTTCCACGTTCCCCTCATCCTACCCTTTCTTTTTTTTCCTTTCTTTTTTTTCCTTTCTTTTTTTTCCTTTCTTTTTTTTCCTTTCTAGACAGGCCTCTGTTCTGGAAGTTAAGGCGGAGCGTGATTTTAGGCCGGCTGACTTGCAGATGGATGCGAGCCCCATTTTTCGCGGAGCGGCAAGGGTCTTCTTGATCTCGAGCTGTCTCATTCTCTGGCGAGATTTCTGAAGCTGGGCTCCGTGATGTCTCCTTGTACGACTTCGAGCTACTACTAGACAGATCGCGGCTGGCATTGAAGAACGTTGCTCCACTCCATTCGCTGGCCGTGTCGTCCGGCAAAGGGGTGGGTGTCGGTGTGGGCGTTGGCGAAGGTGAGCGCGAGGGCGAAGGCGAGCATAAATACTGACCAAACATGGCGTCGACATCGACGTCTCCTGGCTCGAGGGAATCGATCGCGTCATTGGGGGTTGGGCAATAGGATGGGAGTAAATCACAGTCGAGGTCAGCACATTTGTCGCCGCTGAACGCCAGAGCATCCTCCGCTGTCCGAACGTCCACTTTGTTTGCTCCCTTGGGCAGAAGATTTCCCGCCTGGCGATCTAGCCACTGGCCTACTGCGGGGCGAGGCTCTAGGAGTGTTTGCATCGTGGCGGCATCCGCCACCTTGCTGACTGTGATACAAATCATTTGCTGGGATCCCGCCGACGACGGAGTTGGAGCCGTCGCATCCGTGACCGCCCAGCTCGGCAAGATCGGTATCTCGACGGGCCATAGCGCTTCCACCGCCTCTGACGTGCAAGGTTCCGATCCCGGTGGACTGTGACTGGTCGGACTATACTTGCGTTCAGAGGCGGGGTCCGAAGTCCTCAGGCTTATCGGCGAGGCGGGATTCGTCATCTCCAGACCGGAAAGACTTGGGTCGATCGGGCCTGGGCGTGGGCCGCTGCAGGATTCGATGGAAGTAGTTGCTCCCGTCAGCTGCGGGTCGGTTGGGGAAAGCTGAGCGTCGAAGCAGCCTCTCGGCGAGACAGCAGGATCGGTGGTGTCGGAATTGGACATCGCTACGGCTTCCTCGACAAAGTAGGATTGGTGATTGCCCCCTGGGGAGTCAGAAGAGTAGACGGACTGGGCGAATGCGATGAAGCTATCTTTGGCTTTCGAACGCGGTCGATTGGTGTGGCAACGTCGCTTGCTTGTGCTGGACTTGGTCCGCTTGTAACAGTGGGTGTCCTGGGCGTGATATTGGAGATCTACGACGGTGTCGAAGGAGAGCGCGCATCGCGGGTCGGGACACGGCGTCGCCTTTATCTCGTCCGACGCGAAAGCGAGCTCGTCCTTCTTCTCGAGCCCGTCAAGATGCCTGTCCAGATGCTGCTGCCAGGGCAGCTTTTTCGTGAACTGACGGAACCGCTCGTCGGGCGGGAGAAGCGTGTTGAACAGGCAGAAAGGGCAGTGACCAGCTGCGGCCAAGGTCTGACGGAAGATCAGGGGATTCCACTGGATTGGGAGTGACTCGAGGTCGTTTAGATGGCGCCGGCAATGCTCGCGCCAGCCCTGCTTGCTGGTGACCCACTCATCACAGTGGAAGCACAACTCGGCCGTGCCATGTTTGGCTTCGAGACTAGCTTTATGGCACCGGTAAATGTGATCCCATCGGGCCGCGAGACGGAGGCTGTCAAAGTCAAGTTGGTTAGCCAGGTGCCGTTTGCTAAACGGGAATCGAAGAAGTTCCAAGGGCGAGTTCAAAGGAGTCTCTCACCTTTCCATCTCTACCGCGCACGTCGATACGGGGCAACGGCCGCTCTCTGGACGCAGACTCGGGCGGTAGGTCACCTTGGGGTTCTCTCGACATAGAGTAATCATGTCTTGGAGAGCCGCCCGCCCCTCCGGACTCCGGAGAGGGACGTCGAGGAAAAGAGAGGAGGCCAGACGGTCGCGAGGCGGATCCAGCCGCCGGACACGGCCGAAGAAGCTGGGCAGCGATGCGACCGGCGACGCCTCGGTTTCGGTGTCCTGGTTGACCTTCCGGGGTTGAATCTCCTGCCACCTGCTGAGCTCTTCCGACACCATCTGGCGTTTCTGCCAGTACAGTTCCTCTCGGCGGATCCGTTCTCGCTTGCTGTCGTGCCCGACTGGAAGGCGTCGGATTCGTTCTCCGAGGGACTCGATCTCCTCATTAAGTGCGACAAAGTCGGCGCGCTCTTTCAGATTCGCCTCCACCTTCGCCGGCAGTGATTGTAGCATTTGCGGGTGGTGCTGCAGCGAGAGGCCGCGGAAGCCCTCGAGGTAGACAGTGCGGCGCGCTTTACCCCAGTAGCTGGATTGCCCGTCGACGGTACTAATTTGAGGCATGTACGAGCCGAAGAATGTGTCGGAATTTTCGTGGCCAGCAAACTTCATTCTCTCGGCGATCGAATAGCCGTTGTCTGCGCCCGAAGTCAGCACTTTCCGTACCAGCAGTCTCGTTAAGCAGAACCTACCGTCGGCCTTCACCAGGACCTCCCTCCTAAAATCGTGAACCCGGATATTTTCTTCATACCCGGCTCGATGGCCCAAGCCGACCAGCCCACTGCTGAAGGAAACTGCAGGTTGAATCTTTCCCGTCGGGCCTTCAGGAGACATGGTCCGGAAAAAGGGCACCCGGTGCAACTCTTTTCGAATTCGAAGATGATGTAAGGACCCATCGACGGGGGCCGGGATCGCCTCGATTTCCTCGAAGGTGAGGTAATCTTGGAAGGCGCCATCGGCGAGGGCGATGGCCAGCAGAGGCAGGACCGGGTTCGCGTACAGCGGCTGCATATCCTCGTACATACCATGCTGTGGCCTGGTGAAAGCGTAATGTCAGAAAGGATGCTCGTTGAAAGCGGAGACGAGGAAGTTTTCGGTCGATTCACCTTTTGTGTGGCTTATTAGTGAAGCCTTTCGCGTCGCGCGTCGCCCGCACGGCAAGTTCCGCCTCTCCTTTCTCATTCTTGAAGACGACGAAGACGATATCCTGCGTCCGAATTGTTAGCACGGGTCCATCTTAGATTAGAGAGCCGTATTCTTACCTTATATAGTAACCCTCGGCCGGAGCCGCGGCGCATGTTGGATTCGAAGATCTCTCCCACTCTCGACGGCGTGTAAACGAAGAGGGTACAGGCCGCGTGATTCTGAACCAGGCTTCTAGGATGGGTATAGTGGTGCCAATCCTTCTGCCACTTGTGTTTCATCAGTACAATAAAATGAGGCACCGTCATGAAATGCGGCTGCCGTCGTTCGGTTGAGAGGTTGAACCTTTTCTTCAACACTATTTCGATGTGCTGAAACAAACTCTTAGCTTTGTCGATAGAAGTGAAGTGGGATACGAACATAGTATACTGACTCCGACACCTCGTGAGGGATTTTCTGGTTACCAGGTCGCCGCTTCCAACCGGCTCCAAAGTCTGTCCACTGTTGCTTCACGTAGGACAGACTCAAACCAGCCTTCACAACACCCTCCATGAAATGCTTCGCGGCCCGTAAATCGTAGGGACTAACGCCAGGATTTCGCCGTTCATACCTACCCGCCAGTTTCAATCTCTGTCAGCACAGACCAATACGACTCTTAAGCAAGCGAAGGACTTACTCGTCCCAGAGGGCCATCATTCGGTCGTAGTTCAGCTTAGTCCCAGGTTCAATGGGCTTGCTGACCCGATCGCCATTCACGTCGGCGTCCACAATCGGCTGCCAGCCGTTCTCCTCCGCTTCATCAAAGACTTCCGCCGCGGTTTTCTTTCTCTTCGGCCATGGGGAAACAACGAGCGAGGCAGTGAGCGCCGGAGTGTAGCAGGAGATCAAGGAAAGACGACCGCCCGAGAGAAAAGGAAAAGCAGACGACTGGAGTGGGGGGACGTCGAAACGTAGGCGGTCAGAAGACTGGGTGGAAGGATTGATTCACACGAGAAGTCGAGGGAGGGCAGGGGAAAACGTGTGGACCGAGAGAGGGAGAGGAAGAGAGGACAGTGAAGGGAAAAGAGGAAGAGAAGCATTATCCCACAGAGCTGGGGGATTCAGGTGACCCCGTCCAGCAACGTACCGTAGCAGGGCATTCTCTCAGGATTCCTCTCAGGGATCCCACCTTTCATCAGGGCCAAAACGGGCCTTCATGGATGTGATCGGGTAGAGTTACCACCGATCCCCGAACAGTCGACGCCCACGACACTTTCGCTGACTCATCCCTCGCCGCTTTGCTCTCGCGCTAACGACTATTTAGTCGATTCGCTCCCTCGTCCGCTCTCTTCCACTCCCTTCCTCTCTTTCGTGCTCCTCCTGCACTCCCTTCTGCTCCCTCACGGCTCTGGCCCGCTCCTGCCCTCCTCTCTCACGTGCCGGTGAGGCTCCCGTTCGGGCTCTAGTCTCAGTGTCGTGGGCGTTGCGTGTTTGGGGCCTGGTGGTAACTCTACCCGATCACATCCATGAAGGCCCGTTTTGGCCCTGATGAAAGGTGGGATCCCTGAGAGGAATCCTGAGAGAATGCCCTGCTACGGTACGTTGCTGGACGGGGTCACCTGAATCCCCCAGCTCTGTGGGATAATGCTTCTCTTCCTCTTTTCCCTTCACTGTCCTCTCTTCCTCTCCCTCTCTCGGTCCACACGTTTTCCCCTGCCCTCCCTCGACTTCTCGTGTGAATCGATCCTTCCACCCAGTCTTCTGACCGCCTAAACGCACCTTCCTTGCGTTTCGACGTACTTTGACCCCCCCCCACTCCAGTCATCTGCTTTTCCTGTCGTCTCGGGCGGTCGTCCTTCCTTGATCTCCTGCTACACTCCGGCGCTTCCTGCCCTGCTCACTGTTTCCCCAATGCCGAAGAGAAAGAAAACCGCGGCGGAAGTCTTTGATGAAGCAGAGGAGAATGGCTGGGAGCCGATTGCCGACGCCAGTGTGAATGGCGATCCGGTCAGCAAACCCATCGAACCTGGGACTGAGCTGAACTACGACCGAATGATGGTCCTCTGGGACGAGTAAGTTCTTCGCCCGCCTCAGGGCCGTGCTGGGCTTTACTAATAAAGGTGAACTTTGGGGTGTAGGTATGCAAGGCGTAATCCTGGCGTGACCCCCTACGATTTACGGTCTGCGAAGCATTTTATGGAGGGTATTGTAAAGGGGAGTAAGACGGGCCTGAGTCTGTGCTACATGAAGCAAAAGTGGGTTGTCGGATTTCGGAGCTGGTACAAACAAGGCCGGTGAATGGTCGGGTGGTTGCCAACCTGCTGGATATACATGACTCCGAACGTGCCGGGAACCAGGATTATAAGGTTCCACCGAAATTGCTTGAGGGTAATGCGCCTTCTGCCACCTCTTAGGAGGTCGAGTATACACCTTAGACACTCTGTTTCGTGTCTATAGTATGGCTGGAGCTCTTTAGAAGTTAGGATTATGCGATCCCATTCCCCACGTCTGTGACGAAGGTGTCTGCCTCACGTCGAGGCACTGTCAACATTATGCACCGGCTTGACACTGTTTCGGATGGCCAACCACATGCGCACTTACGGCCATCCAGGTTTTATGTATGAGTGTCATACAGTGACGTTAGTGGAGTGGAGTGATTTCATTTACCCTGACCTCTCCCGTTAGTTGAAGCTCTGAACTGAGGTACAAGTGTGATGATATTCACACTATCTAAGGCGGCAGATACAGCATTTACAGGTGTTGGATTTGCCGCCATACTACCTAACGCTAGGTAGCTGCTTACTAGGCAGCTACCTCGGTGGCACGTGATCTGGGATCCAACTCTCCTGTGTCACGGACCCTTCAGATCCGTGGCACTGCATACCTAGGAGACTAGTTTCTTCCGCTTGGTGTATCGATTTTTTTAGAGCATCCCTACTTTCATCCTTCCGTCCTTTCTTTCGGTCAGCATTTGCCGTTTGTCGAGCAGCACGCGTCACCCGTAGGACATTGCATGCTTGCGCCGCTCGCATATGACTAGTCGTTCCGTCTCCAACTGTGACGGAACCGGGCTTTTCAGTGTCTCCCCCTGACAAAAGTTCGGACGATCCACCAAATCCTCATGTGCGGCGGCACCAACACCACGACGGAGTACTGCTACTGGGGATTGCTGGGTGAGGTCATTCGCCGCCAAGATTGATGACCACTGGGGATCAGTGATTCACCGTTTCCATTTTCCGCCGTGTTCAGCCTTGCCGGCTCCGGCGAATCATACGTTTTTAATCGAGCAAAGTCGCCTACAATATCCACGGCCAAGACGAGGGCCATAGAAAATTACACATGGCTTAATAAATATGCCGTCCAGCCATATCCCCACGAGGCAAAGTTCATGCTCAACAGAGTCAGCTCCAGGGAAACCAGAGGTGGCATTCGGCGTAGCAGCAGCCTGCCTCATCCGGGCCCTGACAACGTCGAGCTGGCCAGACAACCGCCAGGGATAGTCGAACTTGTCCATGAAGATTTCGCAAAGCTAGAAAATCGGTCTTAGCTTCAACTCCAACCGACAGCAGAAGTAAGGCACGACATACCTGGATACTGTTCCCACTGGCAAAATTCTCATCGGTCAGCACCGCCTCCAACTCCTCCACAGTTCTGGTCGCTCGACTGTTCGCCTTGACGCCATTCTCTGCCCTTGCACCAAAGAACTCGAGCATCTTCTGATGGTCCCACATCATGCTGACGTCGTTGTACCCCTGCTTGGGTCCATGGATAGCCCGTTCAATCGCATACCCGTTGTTGTTGATGACAAAAATGATGGGCTTGAAGCAATAGCGAATATAAGTGCCGATCTCTTGCACCGTCATCTGAAGACTGCCCTCACCCACGACCAGTACCACACGCCCCGGATACTTCATTTCCTTGGCTGCAATGAGAGCCCCAAGGCACGAGCCAACCGTATACCCGATTGATGACCAGAAAATTTGCGTTATATACCTCGTATTTCGTGGGAATGTGGCATCAGGCATCCCGAACTGCGCCGTTCCGGACTCTGCCAGCACAATATCATTGTCTTTGAGGAATCGACCCAGACGCTGCCAAACGTAGGATTGCTTGAGCTCCCCAGTTTTGGCGTCGTTCAGAACCGGAGGTACGACCCTGCGACTTTTCTGGGGACGCGGAAGGTTGTACTTTGATGGTTGTGCCTCCAACTCGGCCACGATGCGTTTCAGAATAGGCAGAAAATGGAAGCCGGGGAACTTCTCGCCCTTGATTTGCACCAAATCATGTCCAAGGTATACCAAGTTGTCGTCTTTGATATCTCTAGTGAAGCCTCCCGTGTTCGAATCTGACAACAACGGACCGATGTTGATCACCAAGTCAGATCGTTCCACCGCCTCGGCGACACCCGGAAACGACACTTGAAGATGTTAGCCGCGAAATGGTGTATTCAAATGTAGAGAGGTCACCTTTCCCATTGTACAGTCCGTTGTAGTACGGAGATGTCTCGTCAATGACTCCTTTAGACAAGGGGGTAGAGAAACTCGCGAATTGGGTGATGTCTGCCAACTTCTTGGTCAACCCCAGTCCGCCGTGCCGACTGGTGAGGACGTCAGCCAATATTGCGGGGGTTGAGGCTGCCTGGATCAATGAGAGGGCGGTGCTGACGATGTGATCTTCAGTCTTGCTGTCCGGGTTACGGAGTGCGGTGTCAAGCGGAGTCTCCAGCCTTTTGGTATCCAACTGAACTGACACGACATCTACCGGTACGTAGATGTAAACAGGAAGCCGACTCTGCACGCAGGCTGTAATGACTCGGTCGATATCTTCTGCCATGGTACTATCCTCCATCAAGAACGCATGAGCTTTCCGGATAGGTGCGGCCATCTGTATGTAGATTGATTGATCCATGTTCGGTTCCATGGTATGGTGCAACATAGCTCGACTCTTTTGCACTACCTCAAGAGATGGTCATGTCAGCTCACAAGACAGCGAAGGTCTGTCAAAGTCCGCAATAGGCCTTCGAGGCGGGAGGCGAGGGACATACAGTTCCTTGCGGGCATGCCAACTATGTGGATCATGCCGGCGTGTTCAGCATAAGCACCTGCCACGCCATTCATTGCTGACAGTTCTCCGACAGCATAGGTTGTGATGAGGACAGCTGGGCTGCCCTTGATACGTGTGGAGCCGTCTGCCGCATAGGCGCCGTTGAGTTCGTTACAGCATCCAACCCACTTGAGGTTGGGTACGTTGTAGATTTCATCGAGAAGGGTCACTTGGCGATGCTGAAATTTAGTTCCAGCTCGTACGCAGAGTCTTTCAGACGTTCATCCACTCACGATTGAAATCCCCCGGAACTCCAAGGATATGCTCTGTTCCCAATTCTTTGATTCTTCGAAAGATATACTGGCCCAAAGGAATCGTTTGAGCCGACATGTCTGCGCGTTGTATTGGACTTTGAGGTCTCTCTAAGTTATTGATCGAACCAGGACTGCTATTAAGATGACGATTGAGAGCGTTTAAAGTAGAGCGTCATCATGAATGATCCAAAAATATGCGACCGAGGTATTCGCTTATCATTCGCTTCTCCGCTTATTCGCGGATCTGCTTACTGGAGTATACAGTATTAATAGGCGGGTCTCCCCTCCGTGTAGTGGCTGTAATCGCGTCGAGGAACGCCAAGATCATATGTCCCGACCTTGACTCTCCGGCCAAGGGAAAGAAATCTACGGAGTAACACTTAATTCCGGCTTTTACCGAACGGTGGGTTACCTCAGACTTACACCAAGTGGCACCCAAAGGATCCAGTTGTTCCACTCGCTTAGAGCCGAACAAGGAAATATTCCAAGAATGCAACCAACAGGACCGGAAATTCGGCGTTGTCCTCGCCCTCCGACTTAATAGCGTTTCGTAAGCGGAAGAAACATGGAACTCTATACACCCATTCCGCACGTCTCGCTCCGAATGGCATTTGCTTCGGCATCTCGGAAAACGGTTGTAGCTGGTCAAACTCGGCGAGTAGAATGGGCTATTCGCCCTTAAGCTTTCTAGTGACCTTGGCCCTTGAAGAACAAATAACGAAGCACTAATTTGGGAGCCTGCAGGTAGTCAATTTCGAAACATGAACTCTTGCTGCTACGAAGAGCCTCTTTGGTCATTCATGCTACAACTTGACCATCATGGGGCCGAACTTGTTCTCTGTTCGCGCTGGAAGCGCCCTCATAGCATTGGGGAGCCACCTAGCGCTCAAAAGAAAGGAGCCAACTGTACAGCATTTCCTCGCTTCTGTTCCGCTCCTACATGTGGCTTTGCTGACGCTGTGGCTAACTGGGTGGGTTTCGAAAGAGATTGGATTGTTTCAGCTGGCCTTTTCCTTCGAGTTTTGTTATTTTGCCATGCAGTGTTCAAGTATCGCCATCTACAGGGTGTTCTTCCATCCTCTAAAGAAATATCCCGGACCTGTTCTCGGGAAACTAAACAAATTTCACTTCTCCTACATCTGTGCAACCGGAAACAGCCATAGGTATCTCGAGGCTCTCAACACAGTACGGAGACATCGTACGATATGGTCCGAACGAGCTCTCGTTCGTCGATCCCGCAGATGTGACCTTCATCCATGGGGCGTCTACCATATTGTGCAGAGGACCGTGGTACGACGGGAATCCTGGAAGAGCGGGTCGAAACATCCTGGTTATGGGTAGTACCCGGAATGTGGAGAATCACAAAATTCGCCGGGAGAATATGGGATAAGGCGTTTACAGCCGCTGCTTTGAAGTATTTTCAGTCGAGAATGATGCGGCTGATTGATCGGCCGATAGACCATTGTAAGGGGGAAGACGGAAGTATCATCGACATTAGTGGCAATATCGATCATTTGTCATTCGATATAATGGGTGCTCTCACTTTTGGAGAAGATTTTGGCATGATCAAAGGCACGGATAAAGGGTCCCTGGAGTGCGCAGGTCTATCACATTCCTATATGGAGATACTATCAATCATCCACCCTGTAACATGGTTCAAAGAACTATACAAGTGGTTACCAATGGGTCGAAAACGCAGAAGCTAGGGACTAGGGTTCGTTCGTTTTACGACCAGAGATTCGAAGCACGTTACCAGAGAGGTGCAGAGGTCCGGGGAGACATTTTCCAGTATCTGCTGCAGCCAGATCCTAAGACGGGAACTCAATTAAAGAAGCCCCAGATCGCTGAAGAAGCCGTGGCTGTGGTCGTTGCTGGGAGTGACATCAGCAGTATCTGTATGATCTTTATCTTCTACTACTTACTGATGAATCAGGAAACGTATAAAACGCTGCAAGTCGAAGTCGATACACTTTGGGATGGCACTAGTGAGCTCGATGGACAACAGTTGGTTCTAATAGGAGCACCTTATCTGAACGGAGTTATAAACGAGTCCTTACGCCTTGCCGAGCTAGATCCGAACGGAAATCAACGTTCAACACTGAAGGGCGGCCCCATGATCAATGGAAAGTATATTCCCGGGTCAACCCAGCTGAGCATCCACAAGTGGACAATACAGCGAGACGAAAGAAATGTCACTAGAGCGTTAGAGTTCATTCCGGAGAGATGGATCCATGAAGAAAGAGAGAAAATAGGTCTGAACAACCATAATACCAAAGGCTATCTGCCTTTCGGCGCTGGGATATACAGCTGCGTTGGAAAGCCTTTGGCACTTCTTGAAATACGTCTGTTCATTGTGCGATTTATGAGAAAACTGGAGCTGGAGCCCGCTCTTGATTATGACCTAGGGCGATATCCGTTCGAGGTCGCGTCAGGCTTGACGCTCATGAAAAAACCTTTGCCGGTTATGGTAAAAAACCGGGCGGTATAAGGTGGATGGGCGGAAAATAATCAGCTTTTACTATACGTTATTAACACTTCGTCAAACATTTTCAAAACGTGAGGTAGCGGTATGACTTAAAATAGTGATATTTAGAGTATTTGACTTGGTTAGGGAACTATTCTGCGTGTGTGCAAGTATTCAAGGCACTATTGCATATGATTTCATCCTCATCGGCAATTTGCATTCAAAAGGAATGTATTTATTCACGCTAAGTGACGTTTGGTATGATGTCGCGCCGCACTCGTAGGACAATTATGCACTTTTACGGGCTGCTGATATAGGGCGCCAAGGATTGTGGAGTATATGAAGACAAGCTGAAGCAATGCATATTATGAAATTAGGGTTCAGAAACTATCGTCATAGGAAACATATAAGGGCTTCAGGAGCGACAGAGCAATGCCTCCTGGCCTGTCTCCTGAACTAGAAATTGCATGCACAAGAAAGCTACTAGCCGTCATTCGTTCCCAAAAAAAGGACGACGTCTCGTCCTTGGTGTAATCTGGCTGTTGGTCCTCTCCAGCAGTCATGCCAAAAATACCATGTAGGATCTCCACCGAGCTCGCGGACCATGAATCTGTTGCCCCAGAACTGAAATCTGTAAAATCTGATATCTAAGTCTTAGTATCACGGCTTTCCATGTCTCTGCACCGTTCGCAGAGGCCCCACGTACCTTCAGAACCCCCGATAAATACTGACATGAAAGAGGCGGACACAAGTACAATTTCTATTGGGCAGCGCTGTCAAGGTGACAAGTTGAAGCAGGCGTCAGCCAAAAACACCTCACATGGATTGTGCTGGAAGTGCAGATTGCCTGCCGGTGGCGACCCTCACGAGGATGTGCTTGGAGAGGGGACTTCTCAGGACCTATACACCCGCCTGTACGTATAGGTGCCAAGGCTACCATGCCCACAGACAAGGTACCTTCATATAGGCAGCCCACTAAATAGGATGTACTTTTCTGTACTTACCGTTACACTCCTCTATCTCAATTATTCTAAAGTATTCGATCTCGCCGTCGTCCCGCTTGATATAGAGAACCTTAGTGTAATAAGTCTTAGCCTTACTCTTTCAGCGTTATTAACTCTTGCTCTGATGGCGTCCTAGATTACTCCTCCTAGTTACTATGATTACTTACGCGGCCCTCTCGTACGCGCCGTTAACGCCGCCCCTAGCAGTTAACGCTCTCGTACCTAGTTTGGCGAGATCTTCTCGTCGAAGGTTGAGGCGGAGGATCGCCTACGACGCTATAATGATCGAGGGCTTTGATGTTATACGCGTAGACGGTGGCAATAAGCACTCCCCTGGTAAACTCTTTAAATGTACCCACCACAGTAAGAAAATCAAGGATTGGCGTAACCTTAAGGACGTTATCGCCTCGGAACGAGACTGAGTTTATACTCCCCGACTCCACAGTACCGCCAAACTTTGGTAGAGAGAAGAGGAAGAGGGCCCACAGCAAGCGGTATCGGGAATCAAGAGAATGAAACTTAATACCAGAGTCGCAAGAGGCGCACAGGGCCGAGTAACGAGATGGGTATGGCGAGGCTCCGCGGTTTGATGGTAACAAGGCTGATATTTCTCACTCCATGCCTTTTTCGTACAAAATCAGCCTTGTCCCAGAGCGCCATAATACCATTGCAGTGATTTCCTTCCTAGAAGTCCACTCTCTGGGGTAGTCACAAGTCAGGCGCCATGGTAGATCGAGTCAAGTCAGGCCGTCAAGTCAGGTCGTCAAGTCAGGTCGTCAAGTCAGGTCGTCAAATTAGGTCGGTTCGTAACAGTTGTGATTAAACGTAGAACATGAGTGCATGAAGAATTGGTGGTGCCGTCATACAAATAATCTGCGCCGGAGCTCGCCCGAGATAGCTATACGTATAGGCGGGTGTATAGGCCCTGAGACAGCCCCGCTGGAAAGGATTCCTTCGTCTCTCGTTCCGTAGTTCGCACGTGACAGTATTGAAACAAGCTTAATAAATTTGATGCCCAGACAGTTAGAAATATACGTCGATTCTCGAGATAATGTATCGAAAATTCTAACCTTACCCTAAAGTTCAGCGACTATTACTTTTGATGGTTTGATGAAACGACCAGAGCAGCAGCCAGGGTGACAATATTGCGACGAAGGTTGCAACCGACTTGGTATTAAAGACTGACACTAGCGACCACGGTTGACGTTGGAAGGGATGACCACCCAATCAGGTTCCTGGACACGGCCTTGTTAATCAGTCGTTTGAATGGAGGATCTCTCAGCCGATTCGCCCTCCGTGAGTTGTTGGCGTACCACACAATGCCGATGGACGTAGTCGCACCCTTCAGTGAGAGGTAACGTATGGTGGCACATACAACACCATGTTTGAAAGATTCAGTAGACGCTATCCGCTCTTGATATCTGCTCTTTAGTTCTGAAAAGGAGTGGCTATCAATAAAATGGTGTTGCTGGCCGAGCCGGACATTCATCACCTCTGTTATTCGAATACTTCGGGCAGCCAATCCCAAATCTCAGTGGCCACCACACCAGTCTCGAGCCCTGATTGAACGTCTAGGATGCACTCTATATGGACGTGCAAAGGACACTCGACATTCTTGGCATTCACACCCGCCCTGGAGAGCGTGTCTCCCAGTGCTGCCACATGATCTCTGAACAATTCAAGCTCGCCGAACAGATTCAAAACCTTTTTGGCAGGGAAGCCTTTCCACCACGATGCGTCCGCAAGATATGGGTCCGACCAACCATTACGTTTTGCCGGGAGGCCATAAGCATCTGCCATCCACCTCGAGAGTTCGGGCGTGCAGATGTCGAAATCCACATTATCCTTGTACGATTTGGCGTCCTGGTCGAAGCAGACCCATGGAGATATCAGGAGCACACCGGCCAGAGGTTGGGTGAGATGCAAGGGAGTCAGTCCCTCCAATGGGTGTAGTATGTGAGAGACCAGCCCCAGAGAGAGATTTCCCCCGGCGGAGTCTCCTCCAATAACAACCTTGAGATCTTCGGTTAGTACACGACCGCCTGGGGAAAGGAGAGTAGCGAAGGTCAGCCTCAGCGACTTACATCAGAAGGGTTGATTCCTGTCCCGAGGATGTGTCGCAAGCCTTCAGTCGCCTGCAAGATCTGGACAGGATACTTCTCAAGGTGTGAAAGCGCTATGTGACACGTTTCAGACATCAGCACACCGAACACAACTTGACCTGTACATATTTTCCACCTGCAATACATACTGTACTCTAGGAATGCAACTGCAACCTTTTCTCCTGTGTTCTGGAAGACGTTGTCTACAGACTGCAGGACGAACTCTACGTGACCTTCAATACAAGGCACCGCATATCCACCGCCTGGTACATATGTTAGATAAAGATTCTGGTCTCACTAGAAATCACAGTGATAGACTACCGACCATGCAAGTAAAGCAGCACTTTTTTCAAGTGCGGATCTCCCAGATAGTGTAATTTCGCCCCTTTGCTGTTTGGGATATCTTCAACACAATGTGCCACATTCGCCGCCCTTGCTCCAGTAGCTACCGTCTCACTGGTTGAGGGCAGGCCCTTGGCTGACTCTAATGAATCGAACAGGTTTCTTAATTGATCATTACGCTCTTTATGTGCTGCTGAGCGGAGCTGGGACATGATGCGATTGCGAAATGGTAAGGACTCCAATAAATGAGATAAAGGAGTGGGATTGATGAGACGACTGTACTCCAAATCGATCTGTAAAATATAGTGCCTCAGCAGACAGACGGAGTCGTCCGGGGCTTTCAGCCATCCAGCTGACTTTACAGGGGGGAGTTTTGCAAAACACCGGAATCTTTGGAGCCGGTGGGATTTCCGACTTCACTACTGTACAGCTAGGTGGTGAAGGGTCGGCTGGGTATACATAGCTTATTGATTACTTCCTCCAGCCATCTTATCCGCCCTTGTGTGATGCGGAGACGAGGACCTCGACTCCGTCGCGGAGGGCAGCCTCCGAGATTACTTGTCGTCATCAGCTTCTTTTCGCTGAGTATTGCCGTAAGTAGTTAAGTGGCTGAAGACTAATTTGCCACTGGTCGTTTGAGCCGAGGGTGGAACAGGCGATTGCAGAAACAAAACTACGGCTGCCATCAACAGCAGCAAGGCGTCGACCGCCAGAGCCTGGTGCGAGGATTCTCGGTGATCGAAGAAACCGGAAGCTGTCTACGAGAGTATTGGGTCCCGCAGAGGCTGTTGACTCCAAAGAATGAGGACAACGTAACGCCACCGACCAGAACGCGACGCCCCCCCTTCTTACACGCCTTATTCAGTATCCTTAACGGCTTTCAGCATCCTCTGAGATCGGCCTATTGCATTTTCACTGGGAATCGGGCTTGGGTCGGCGTCTCCTTCTAGTCGACAAAACCAAAACCACCGCCGCGTAGAGGTATGTAGTCACGCCCGCGTAGAGGTATGTAGTCAGTCAAGGAAAGCCTGCCACCTTGTATGTACAGTACACTTTGATTCTATTTTTTCCGAATCATGGGCACGAGGAGGGATGATATCCGGTCAGGTCCGCTATAGATAGTGACCTCGTTATCATACACCTCGGCAGGCCGGTGCTCCGGGTCGTTGTGGAGCGCGTTCCCGGAGCCTCGCATCATCACTCCAGTCTTCGTCCACTCAGTCGGTTGTTGGTCGTGCTCGAAATCCTGACCCTGTACAGTGAGCCCAAGGCGGTAGCCGGCAGGTAGGGCCACACATGCCGGCCAGATTTCGATGTCCAGCCCGTAAACTCCGCCGGGTACGAGCGGCTGGATACTCTTATGCGTCAAGAATGGCCGATAGGGCAGTGAGCGGTCCTTGTCGAGCTCGCGCTTCGAGGCTCGCAGCCACCCTTGGCTCAGTGGAATTCGAGGATCGGGTACGCCCTTGAAGAGCTTTTCCGTGCCTTTCTCGTCAAATATGCGAACGGATAGGAACAAGTCCGCATCTGACGTGGAGGCTGATGCCCAGAGCTTCGCTGCGAGCGGACCAATGATCTCTGTGGGGTGGGCGAACGGCTCGGTGAGCATGGTGATACCCTTACTGAACCCTCGATAGGTCGCCGCGGTCTCTTTGGACGGGAATCTCTCCCCCATGGTCGAGTCACTCGGATTTAGATAGAGGGTGATCCAGCGAGTTTCTGGGAGTGGCCATTCGGATGCTTTGCGAATCTCTATAATCTGATCATCGGGATTGCGGACGGCGAGCTCGACCTTGGACTGGGTCTGCGCAAAATCACCGATGCCCTTGAGAGTGTGGTCAAAAAATCTTCGCTGCAGCTCGACCCCTTCGTCATTGTAAAGCGTGGCAAACACTCCCTGCTCCTGGCGAATACACAGCCACTTGTCAGTTGACGCAGCGTTCATGAAGCCCTCCACGTTACCACGTAGATGAGTGCCCAGCGCCGCCCACGACGTAACAGACAGCATTGGCACTTTGATCCGATGCCAGTGTGCACGCCGGTCCACATAGCATTCATCATCGAGAGGGTGCTGCATGAACTGCGGGTAGATGTCGATAAGATTGGCATTGCGCTCCTCCTCCGACAGTTGTTCATCGCCGCTCACCGCCTGGCCGGTAAATTTGTTCGTCATGCCTTGGGTTCCGAGACCGTATTGAACTGTCTTGACCAAATCAGTGGTCCAGGACTTGAAAAATGCACAGGGGACGCCGCCATGATATCCGACCGAACGGAGGTAGTCGTCACTCGCTTGCCACGGTAGGATCGCCTTTAGGTGCTTTGGTTGACGGCTGGCGCAAAGCCACTGGGTGAAGCCCAGATAGGACATTCCCAAGAGACCAACATTGCCGTTGCACCACGGTTGCTCGCCCACCCAGTCGACGGCCGTGGCAAAATCGTCGCCTTCGCGAGCAGACAAGGCATCCACCACACCGGGGGTCCTGCCGGTGCCGCGTGTGTCGATGATAACAATCGCGTAGCCGTGAGTGATCCACTTCTCTGGGTCCGGCGCCTCGAATGAAAAGTACTTGGCAGAAGTATTTTGACCGGCATCTGGGGAGGTCTTGATTACAACATTCCAAGCATCGGCGTAGCCTTGGCAGAAGGGCAGGTCCTTTCCGTACGCTGTGATTGACATGACTACCGGGTGTCTCCCTTCCTCGGGGGGGAGATAGACATTGGCACGCAACTCTGCACCATCGTCCATCGGTATCGGGATATCCCACAACTCCCTCATATTGACGACAACCAACTCGGCCTTTCGAGCTCCAGAAGTCATAATATAATCTTCCGTTGCTTCAAGTCTGACTTGACATAGGTGATATTCTCAGAGCTGACACCTTGAATCCCTGTCTTTGTATCTACAATGTCGCAAACAGAGCGTTCGGCTGCGACAACCCGATAGTCCGACACGGATGGAGATAGGAGCGAGGAATGCCGAGAAGTCATGGACAAGGGTCATTCAAGAACCATGGCACGGCGATCACCTGGAATTCAGAGGCGATCCATGGCGTCCAATTCCTGCCAAGTCAGCTTCAGAGCATAGACATTTCTATTTATCTTCAGGTCTGCAGCTTTGGACCAGCACGGCTAGAGTCCTACGCCGGTCACTACTTGACGATTTTGGAGTTGAAGAGCACCAAGATGAAGTCGAAAGACTGGCGATGGCCATGCAGTGATGTATCCTCGTTTCATGACCGTCTGGCTCTCACGCCCTCCAGCGCTCTGCGCCATAATGGCTCAGATCAGCGCCGATGACTTCCGTCCAGGCACAAATGATTCCGAACTGTACCGAAAATCTAGAGTTCCGGCAACAGCTTCATGGCTGAGAATATAGCCTATCGCCCCTTCGCTGCCGATGAGTTTCATGATACTTGATCTTTTGGTTTCGGCAGACAGAACCCGATCCCCGAATGCTCCAATGTAAGTCTCAAGAATAGAAACATGATTTACGGCCGACATGCTGTTCCAGTTCCTTGTTGAGCGGCGGTAAACTGATATCACGCTTTTCGATTGATGACTACCTACAGGGAACAGCCATATACTCACGCTGAAAGAGTTCACTCATGGCGAAGCTCGACGAATATAAAGACCGGTACGAAAACTTTCGACTTGAGCGAACGACCGATGGAATTCTAACGGTCACACTTCACACCGATGGCAAGGAACTCGTTTGGGGAATGAAGCCGGATGATTCCTTGGGAAAAATGTATAGGGACATCAGCTAAGATACGGATAACAAAATTATCATTTTGACCGGGCAAGGCAACACCTTCATCCACTACGAAGACTTGGGAGGCAGCGACACGTTGAAAACCGAGTATTGGGGCACTTATGTCCTCCCCTTTGCAATTCGACTCATCCACAATCATCTTGACATCGACGTCCCAGTGATTGCAGCTGTCAATGGGCCCGCGACCATTCATGCCGAACAAGCCCTGCTCTGCGACATTGTCCTAGCCTCTCCAACCGCGGCATTCGCTGACCAGCCACATTTCGCCAACGGCGTGGTCCCAGGTGACGGAGTGCAGGTGATTTGGCCTATGCTTATTGGCATGAATCGTGCCCGGTATCTCATGTACACTGGTCAGGTCCTCGACGCACAACAGGCAAAAGACTTGGGGCTGGTGAATGAGATCGTTCCCAGGGAGAATCTCCTGAAACGTGCACATGAGTTGGCACGCCAGTTGCTGGAGATACCGGAACTGACACGGCGCCTGACTCGACGCACCTTCTCTTCGGTAATCAAGGAGCAGATAAACTCAGCTCTCCCCTACGGTCTTGCTCTCGAGGGCATGGCGGCGGCAAACTACTGGCCTCAAAACTTCAAAGCAGCCAAGCTGCCACCAACTGCACGTCGACAGGAGAAATAGGATGTCAGCACAGTAATCTCAACCAAGAAAGGCTCTACGATCTCTCTCGTGACGCCAGACCACATTCGGGTGACTGGTCTGGGTTCAGCTAAATTTCCTTAGGAAGTCGAAGCTTGAGATGTTGGTTGTACCGCCATCAAGTGCGCGAGACTAGTTTATAAATGACATGGACAGAACAGAATAACACACAAGTCCTTCCCCCCGCTTCGTAATGCATAGACACAAGACATCATTCAACTCTTGACTCTTATCACATTGTGAGAGATTCCTTGCATGAAGAAGGGATCTGGAGGGTTAGTGATTTCTCCCCCCTCAGCCTTGGAAGTTGGTCAATGTTCAACTCTCCCCAATACTGCTAGATTCGACTCCCCAGTCTAATTCCCAGGCGTTCATCCGTCTATAGATACTGTGAAGTCATCCAGATGAATGAGCCATGAACTCATGACCCGTGTGAACTATTCCTGGCTCGGATTGATCATGCTCTTCTGAGATGTCATCTATATACGCAGATGACTGCATGTAAGGTCGCCTCCCCAGGAAGCCCGGTCCGATAAGCCCGTTAACGCCGAAGCTCACGCTCAACCGACTCGGGACTGGCTTCCTGGTCAGACTCGCGCTCGAATGGAAAGATCACGTATCGACGGAACGAGTCGGCCCTAAATGCCAACTTCAGAAATTACAGCGGCCCGACAGTTGCCACAATTGATCTTTGGTCTGGAATCCGGGGGCGCTGGATGCGATTGATCATAAAAGCGTTTCCTTCTCCGGTAACTGAGATACCCCAGAACTTTGCGATCTCCACCCTTTACAGGTCTGTCGAATTCGACCCACCAAAATTGTCGTACAATCATGAGCGAGAGAAAGGATGCAGATATCCGTGACGTCCAATTGGAGACCCTTGCGGCCACAACACCCGGTCATGACATCGAAGAGGCGCACAGTGAGAAGGCTCAAGATGATTCTCATCAGACCGAGAGGCGCCCTGGGGCACTGGGTCGCGAACTATCTGAGATGCCTCCAGGGTATTACCGGAGTGTGCGGTTCATAGGCACTTTTGTTGTCCGTATCGCAGTGTCCCTGCCAAATGAATCTGGCGAGCTGACCTCCTCACAGGCCGTGTCTTTTGGTTTCCTCGGAGCGGTTGCAGGGTTCAATCTGATTGCGCCTCTCATTCCTGCCATCAACAATGAATTGGGTTCGTCTTTGGCGTGGACAAGTAAATCTATACCCCAAGATCATCTCTGACTGACGCTCTATAGGCCCATCTCTCAATGCCCCCTGGATCGCCACAGGATATTTGGTCTCTCAAACCATGTTTTTCAACGTGTGTGGAAGGCTGTCGGATATATTTGGCCGACGCTGGTGCCTCATCTTCGGATCAGCGCTCGCCACACTTGGGTGTATCCTGGGAGGCTCGGCGCAAAGTATCGGTCAAGTCATTGCGGCCGAAACGATCCAGGGAGTCGCGGCCGGTTTCCAAATCAACTTTTGGTGGGTGCTGGCGGAAACGGTGCCTATGAGAAGGCGTTTCATAGCATCCACGGGGATATACATCGTGTCGATTCCAGGAGTATGTCATTGCCAACTCTTTTCCCTTTCCCTTCCCGTCCCTCTCTCTACATCTATACTTCCGTCACCATGTACTAATCGGTCTGTCGGCGCAGAATCCGTTTTCGGTGTTGGTCGCGATCAAGATGCAGAACACCACTTCGTCCCACTGGCGTGGCTGCTTCTACTGGATGATCGGGGTGAATGCTGTGTCCACGCTGTGCTACTATTTTTTCTATCACCCGCCCACATTCAAAATGCTGTACAGGACCAAGGCACTGAGAAAAATCATGGCAGACTTTGACTACGTTGGCCTTGTGTTGTTCTCGCTGGGACTGCTGATGCTAATCATGGGCATGCAATGGGGTACGTACGGACTGGAAATCCATCGTCATGGCTGGACATGCAGGCTGACGAATGTTGCAGGCGGCGTGCTATACCCATGGAAGAGTGCTCATGTCATAGGGGCTTTGGTAGGAGGGTTCGTCGGTTTGGTCTCGTTTGGGTTGTACGAGGTCTTCCTCTGCCACAAGTTCTCCGAGCCATATCTACCTCTGCATTTCTTCACGAACACCCCTTTCCAGGCCACGGCATGGATCACAGGCATCAGCGCCATAGGGTATTTTGCTTTTACGTGAGTACATGTTTGCGCAGTTTTCGAGACGTGTACAGCACTCACTGACCGCCTCCACAGGCTGATTTGGCCCCAGGCGGTGAACCGACTGTATTCCGGTTTGCATCCGGATTACGTGGTAGGTGGCATTCATCTGCTCGAGGGGAGTAGTCCACTGACATTCCGTGCTAGGCTTTTCTCTCTGGACTCACTCTCATGTGTTTTGTCTTTGGCCAGATCTCGGGCACCTTCATTGCCAACTGGGTGCCTCCCAAACCAATCCTGATTGGTGCTCTTTTCTGTGGTAGTCCTCTCCTCGCTGCCGTGGCGACCAATCCTCTCAATCGCCACCTCACAATCGGCCTGATGGTGCCCGGGATCCTGGCAATCGGTATGGCCGAAGGCGTCGGTATCGCCCTCAACACTTTTCCCCTCCGTACACAGGAGGAGATTGGTACAGCTGGTGGATTAAGCGGAACGATCCGCGCCTTCAGCGTCGCGGTCGGGACCGTGGTCTACAACACCATCCTGAACAATCGATTGAGCAGTACCATTTCGTCCAACGTCGTGCCCGTCCTGGTAGACGCCCATCTTCCGTCGTCTAGCTTCACCACAGTCATCACGACCTTGAACAACGGCCTTCCGCTAACCGGTCCGAAGAGCACAGTCGGGTTGAATGCACATGCGGCAGGGGCTATTCAAGCCGCGTACCGTGTGGCTTGTGCCGACGCCTATCGAACCGTTTTCCTCAGTACTCTGAGTTTCACCGGATTGACCCTGGTTCTGGTTTGGTTCACCCCAGGGATCGATCAGTCCAAGGCACAATATGTGGCCACGGAGATCCACCGGCCCCAGGATGAAAAGGCGTTGGAAAATGAATAGGTGAATGCAACGCGGTTTGACCTTGCGGGTGGTCTTCGAAATTTACACGAAAGGAGGAGGGCAAAGGCACCGTGTGGGAAGTCGTACGTATACATCTGATCAGCGCCAGAGTGTTGTTGATTTCACACTATCAAGTGACTTTCCGCAAAGTCAGGTTCCCACTCGATACCTATGGAATCCTTGGAACAAGTTAAGGCTATATCATATGTACCTGAACAATTGTTACCGGGAAATGCCTCCCTCTCCTCAAAACACCTTTCTCTCAGACTTCTTCCGATAGCACGGGACGTGAGGAAAACCTACTTGGTGAGAATCGAAGTGAGAATCGCATATGTAGTGACTATTGGGAGCTTAAATGAAAGCCTCCAAGTGTCTATACTCGATCCTGCCAAAATGAGACGACCCAATATTGATCGGTGGTACAATCCAGTGAACTACCACGAAGCAGCCAACGCAGCATTTTAAGCCTATGTAAGGTATTCACCCTCATATTTGACTATTGATTGATGTGTTAGTAAGACACCGATATAGCTGCGGTCTCGCTGTACGTACGACTCGGTTGATCTTGTGGGCCTCAATAAGACTCACTCTCCTCATGCTTGTCAACTTCACAGGTTATGCTAGTCATGACGTCGGATATTCGAAAGAGAAGTCATATCCCCGTGTGTCCACCGGCAGAGGGAGAATTGGAAGATTTTCCCAGTCCTCAGTAGATATGTCAAATGATTCAGCAAGGAAACATTCCGATGTCTTCCCATTCTTGTCACATCTTTCATCCGGCGAACAACTTTCACGAGCTGGCTTTAGACTCTCTTGACCAGCGCTCCCGGACAGTCGTTGAACATGGGACACTCGAGAGGAAGCAGTTGCCCAAGTCGTACAGAAAGTATTCGAATTGGTAGAGTCATCGATGGTGCCATCGTCAACGCCTGATAGATTCGGCGAATTGAGCTTTCGGCGCTTGTTCATTGGGCCAGGCTGGGTGTTTTCAGAGGTAGGGCTTCCTAGTTTGACAGTGAAATGCCGCAGGTCTTCGAAGTCTTGATTGAACTCTGCGTCAAGACTTTGGTATTCGTTGATCCACTCCCTTTGTTGAGACACCTCGAGGACTAAACGGTGCATGTGTAAGGCATGTTGGTATGTATGCGACAGTTCCTCCAGCATAGTAGACATGAAAAGCAGATATCTCATTGCGGAATATCTCTTCTTGCGGTCCTCAAGGTAGACTAAGGTCGTGATGAAAGCGCTGATAGCAGTTCCTGCATGTTGCAATGACGAGATGAAGCTTTGCTGGATATTGTATTGATGTGCTGACTGAACAAAGGCTTGGGCGATACACACGCCATGCTCGAGGAGCAATGACAGAGGGTCGTGCCGGGTCCCAAGTGCTCTAACAGATTTGGAGTTGACAAATGGACGGTAAAGAAGAACCAACGCTGAATGATACTGCTGGCTGGACTTGGTTAGCAATGTTGTAGAGTGAGATTATGTCGGCCAGCGCCTTACTGCATAATGAAAAAGCTTCGCGACGCCACCCGTACGTTTGTTGGATTCCATAGCAAGCAAGCTGGGAGGTCTGCGTGCCATCGACTTAGTTGCCCTTCCAGGAATGCCATAGTGGCATACGTTGAACTATCGACATCACGAGTTCGTCGGGCGTTGCTGTCAGCGATGGATCCGACTATGTCCATGAGCTCGGATAGGTGCTCATTGATGAGACCGTTTGTTGCAATTGCGATTTCGTTGTGTTTCTGAGGAAGCATAGCAAAGCTTCGGGCCAGACTGAGGGTTTCTAAATCCGCGCTTTTGATACTAGTAGGCCTGCCCAGAAATAAAGCCCAAAACCTAGAGCCATTGTCACTAATTTAGGTATGGGATCTCTCGAAACTCATACTTGTCCATGATCAGAGATGCCAACGCAACTTTGCGGCGGACCTCAACGCCTTTATCAAGCACTCCAAGTGATATGCTGTCAAGATTCAGGCCAAGGTCGAAGAAAAGGCGACACGTCATTCCTAGGGAGTATTAGCAAGAAATTGCACAGTGTGAGAGCGCAATCAAGACGACCTCCATAAAGCCACGCAAGGACATCTTTGCCGCTGCCGTTCTCCAAATCTGTCATCAGTAAGCTCGCCTGAAGCGAGGCCAGCCCGCCAACCTTGATTGCCGGCTCGAAGAGCTGCTTAGCCATGACCTGGAAAGTGGATTCGTATTTTGAAATCATCAAGACGCTGATATCGGATCTTGATTTGTCTGCGAACCTCACTCCCATAGCCAAGATTGCTATGTGTAAGAAGATAGAATAGTGCTCGCTCGGGCCTCGCCGATATCCCTCGAGGAAGGGCGTCTGGGGAACAACCTCGATGATGGCGTTGTAGCAATTCCAGAACAAGTTGAGGAGATAATTATGTGTATCCAGCGAGAGCAAAGAGATCATGCGCGTTGCCTTTTGTTCAACCGCTTGGGAGGCCGGAGTTACCAAATCATCTTCTTCATCGTGGAAGACATGCAAATTGGTTGTAGCACCGAAATATCGCCATGATCCTTTGTAAAATCGAAGTTGTCCCGCCGTGGAAAGCAGATTGTTGACCTTCCCATGCACTGATCTATTATCCTCGATGGAGGCTGGCGCCGAATGCTGAGCATCTTTTTCCTCCTCATTGCGAGAATTACAGGAGATTGATAATATGGCTCCCGAATTTTGATGGCTAAGGTGACGCAGAGGTGAGCCATGCTGAGACTCCTCCGACCGTGAAGAAGACGCGCAGTCAGCTTCGTCAACCGTAGGCACCAGGTGGTTCTGGGAAGCAGCGGGTTGCCATCCCCTCAACAAGATCTCAAGGTTTTCGAGCCTGCGGTCAAGGACTTCCATATACGCACTCGAGCCAATTCTAACGAAACTCATTAGACACACATCCGCACAGTTCAGAGAATTTCAAATTCGAACCTTTTCTTTTCCTCGGAAGCTTTGAAGACACACTGCGAACCGATCGAACGGCAGTACTGACATGCATACTCCCCTTGTGTAATTTTGCACTATGCAGATCAGACACATAGCTTCGACGAATGCCCACGAGAGCGTGGACTGTTCCATACTTACCTTCGTCCTCCTCCGACGACACGTAACACAAGCGACAGAAGCCCGACTTCTCTCTATATCGAGACTTTCGTCACCTCCCTTCTCCTTGGGCGCTCTAAGCTTGGGGTTGGCCATTGCAACCCTCAGTGTCAGAGAGTTGTGGGTGGTTATCGAAGAAACTAAGTTTCTAGGACTTGGGTAGACTCTTTCCACTCCTGGCGAAAGTCACTTGCTGTTCAAAGGACAACAGTCTGATAAAGTGTCGGCAAGATCGTAAGACAGACCGTACTTGTCTAGGACGAGCATACAGTAGATCTGGGGTTGATTTGTTTAAGAGGCAGATGAACATGGAGTGGCAGGTTTGTGTCTGATCTCGGGACTCGATATGCTTTCACCTTTGCGATGAGCAAGGAACAAAGGATCAAGTAGCAGGGTTGGCCAACGAGAAATCAAGTCGTTCCCTGTTGACAACATCTACGAGCGTGAGGGGCCATAGAGGAATAAACCGGCTGTCATCTCTAGTTCTTTGAATGAGTAAGTTGCTGCCACATTTCTCGGCCGTGACAACTCACGAGTGCCCGCTCTGATAACCCCACTCTGATGGATCACACTGAGAATCCGAAATGAAAATTATTCTGGTAACAATCAGCCTGCCTTGCAACATCTACATTGGACGCTGGTAGCGTCAGGGATAGCATACTGACAGGGAGGCAGTGTTTGGGCTCATCAGTGGCGCATAGGTTAGCCCTGACTTTTGGTGTCTACCTCCACGTTTGTGCCTCGGCCGTCGGACGCCGAAGCGGAAATGGACTGATACTTATCACTCGCTCGCTTACTACCTCGAAGAAAGCTTCGGCTCAATAGAGTTTAGATTCTGCATCATCTGTGCATCTCCTCGCTGACGTCCCCTCACTCCCGGGAAGTGCCCCGGAAGTGCTAATTCAACCTCAACCACCGGGCCAGCGCAAACCACTTCCAACGAGCACTAATGTTCAATCTCAACCCGTGCTTTGTCCAAGAGACTTTGACCTGGAACAGAATCAGGTTGGTAAACCTGGCGATATCGGCGAGATTTGACGTTGAGGTTGTTTGACACTAGCAAATGAAGTCCCCCGGACACCGATTATCAGGGCGAATTAAAGTAAACCTCGATGATCTCCTCCCTCGACGCGTGAAGAAGGTCTCGGAGCTGGCGTGCACGTGTGCGCGGATTTAGCACACCTTCTAAGCTTCAAGAACAATCTTTTCCACAGGCCCGACATTTGCAAATGATGTCAGTCGACATGGACTGGCAGTCACAATACGGAGACGATGTCTGGGCGGATATGCTCCTCGATTTGGAAGAGTCTGATGTTCACGACAGATTCGACAGCTGGCGCTTCTTTTCACCCAGTCTTGCCGCGCTGCCGGACCTTGAGGAATCGGGAGCGTACGATGGGTTGGCTTGGACCCCATCGCCTAGCCAGAGATCTAGCGCCGCCGAGCGGAATACAGACGACGGGCATGACTTGTTGCATGCCACGGCCGGAGCAGTCAATCCTGAAGCAATTGATGTACTTTTGCACTCCAGTATGTACCAACCAAAGTTCCTTCCTGGTTGAAAGCGTCGAACAAGGCTTACGTCTGCTTTAGCTGCACTCGACAGACAGTCCTCTACGCCCAGGTTGCTCGATTTGGCCAGGAGCCTCAGAAATCCTACTAGCTCCGAAAATGAACGATCAAGCTTGAGTGTGTCCAATAAAAACTACGGAACAACTGCGAGGCCGCACCCAGAAACGTTCGGTCGTCTGTCGCACAGTCTGCGACATCGCTTGGTCATGGTCTTCTTTCGGGTTGTGCACACTCTCCTACCGGTCATCTGCAAAAAAGTATTTTTCGAGTGGTATAACAAAAAGTACGATCTGGACATGTATACTGAACTTCAGCGATTGACCCTAGAGGGCATGATGTTCGCCGCTTTCGCACATCTCAACGTAAGAGAGCTTGAGGCGAGTCCTTTCTACACAATCCTGGAAGGACAGGCAGAGATGTTTGAGCAGGTCCGTCAATCTTACGTGCGACTTGCTTCGAAGCACGAAGGCAGCATAGAACTTGTGCAAGTCACACTTCTACTAACGACGTGGAGTCCCTACGACGCTTCTTTCGAAGTCAACGACTACTGGCTGGACGAGGCATTACGGCACGCTTATAAAGCCGGCATCCCTAACGGGGAGAGTCCTCATCATCGCATATTGTGGTGGTGCTGTATTGTTCGGAATCGAATCAGCGCACTAGCGCTTCGCCGTCCCTATAGACTGCGGGACTTGCAACCGGACTTTGCTCCGTCAATGGAGGATTTTTCCACTCCGGAGCCTACATCATCACAGGCCCAAGATTGTCACAGGGACATGCTCTTGGCCGTAGAGGTGTTCCTATCACTTTGCAAACTATCCGTCGTCATAGAGGATATCCTCCGACTTGGACCCAACACAACTCGCTGGGATCCTTGGAGGGGAATCGAAAAGGACCCAGTTCATCGCAAACTCAAGCCAGTGATGGACATTGATCTAAAACTTCAGGAATGGTGCGACTCGTTCGACCTGATCATGTCGGGCTATGCCCTTCATACAGTCTCTAGCCAGCTCCGAGCGTCTTTCTTGACCCTCCGTATCATAGCCGAGTAAGCCCCTTGTTCACAGTAAGGGTCGAGCATCAGCCTAATCATGGTGTTTGGTAGGTCGGCCAAAGCAGGGTGCTATATTCGAATACTAAGAGAGGTCAACCCTGACCCTCTAACAAACTGGTACCTTGGCTCTTTAGCCATTGGAAAAGCTAAAGAAGCATCCCTGGCGGTGGCGAGCTACGGCCAACGGCTTGCATATACCGTCAAAGCTACGGATATTCCACCATTAGCGTACGGTGGCCACGTTCCGTCGACAGGCTGCAGTATCTGACTCGATTGCAGGCCCGCTTATTTGATCTTGCCCATGACTGTCTACGCCGCAGAAGCCTATATCCACCGACACGATCAGTTGGCTCAATTCTCATGGACTCGGTTGCAGGAGCTTCAAACATTGTTGGAGAAACTTGAGCAACGTTTTCCAGGAGTGAGGCATGTGGTTCATCTTTTCAGGACCATTGAACAGACTATTGATAGCCTTGGAAAGCTCTCTTCTGGTTTGTAAGTCTCATGGATTCAGCATCAAAGTGCGACAAGTAACCATCCTAGACCAAGCCACACCGAGACAAATTTATTGCAGCATGCCATCCAAATGATAGATATGGGAATGGGCCTGGGGGTCTCACTCGAAGCCTGAAGTTCCGAGGCCAGCACTTGAGATCATCCAGCTAAACGTTCCAGGCTTGAAGCTCCCGTCTCATTGGCGCCAGTTTCGTCAACAGCAGGCTTCTCAAGTGCCTTAGAACGTAGATCTCTCGGCCCGAGGTGCCGATGCTTGGGCAATGGTCGACAACTGCCACCCTTCAAGCCTCGTGGATATTGGGCCATGGAGGCATGATCTTATGGAATTGGTTACTGATAGCTCAGCCTAACGCTCCCCGCGTCGCCCTTGGAGCTCCACAGGCCGGCCCGAGGGCTGGATCTTGGTCAATGAGCCCCATCGCTTCCATTTCGGCAGTGGACCCGAGTTCCGATGAACCCGAATTTGTCATCATACCTGCACAAAAATCCACTCACGGACACTTCAACAAAGATACTTATGGCTTCTACCTCTTGAACTACTTCTCTCTCATTAGTGGCTTCGTTTTCATACTCATCCTCCCATCTTCCCTCACACCTTTCCAACGTCGACAATCAGCAGGCAATGTCTCGGCGGTTCGAATCCAGTTCTCAGGACGCCTCGGCTCTTGGCGAGCCGTTGACGTTTGTATTTAGCGGCAGAACAGCGCCAAATCGATTTTTGAAGGGCGCCATGACAGAGCGTCTATCGTCCTGGGACGCCAGTGCAAAGGAACAGCGCGGGATCCCCTCAGAAAACCTGATCAACGTCTACAAACGGTGGGGAGAGGGTGGGATCGGGCATATCTTGACCGGAAATATCATGCTCGACTATGATCAATTGGAAGCGCCAGGAAATGCCATTATTCCACCAGGCGCAACGTTTCATGGCGAGCGATTTGACGCCTTCAAGGAACTCGCTCGCCAGGCCAAATCTCACGGAAGTCTGATCACCGGGCAAGTCAGCCATCCAGGAAGACAAGTGGCCGACACGATCAACGGCAATCCAGTCTCGGCCAGCGCCGTACAGCTCGAAGGGGATTTGTGGGGAATGACGTTCGCGAAGCCTCATGCAGCGTCACAAGAAGAAATCAAGGACATCGTTGCACGATTCACCCATGCGGCTGATTATTTGCACCACGCCGGCTTTGACGGAATGCAGTTGCATGGAGCACACGGATATTTACTGGCACAATTCTTGTCCAAGACTACCAACAAGAGGAGTGATCAATATGGCGGCTCTATCGAGAATCGCGCACGTATCATCCTGGAAATAGCTGCATCTATTCGCCGCAAAGTGCCTTCAGATTTCATCCTTGGGATCAAGATGAACTCGGTCGAGTTCCAGGAGGGCGGGTTTTCGGCGGAAGAGGCGAAGGATGTGTGTAAACTACTAGAGGATGCCAAGTTCGACTTCGTTGAGCTGAGCGGTGGAACATATCAGGCCCTAGCATTCGTGCACAAGCGCGAGAGCTCGAAAAAGAGAGAGGCTTTCTTCTTGGAATTTGCCGATAAGATCACGCCTGGCTTGCAGAAAACCAAGACATACGTCACTGGGGGCTTCAAGACGGTTGGCGCCATGGTTGACGCACTCAAAACGGTCGATGGCGTGGGCCTTGGTCGCCCCGTTTGCCAGGAATTTCATCTTGCCAAAGATATGTTGGACGGCAGAGTATCTGGGGCAATCGATCAACAAATCGACCAGGACGACTTTGGTTTGACTAATATTGTAGCTGGATCACAGATTCGTCAAGTGGGCAAAGACCACGAGCCCATCGACATGTCGAAAACAGAGAATGTGGACGTCTTTATGAAGGACATGGGTTCATGGACTGCGAAGTTGAGTTCGGGGGATCCTGGTGTCTACGGGTACATCGATCTTGACAGTGCGGGCATTCGGCCTTTTTCGTACTGAAGTCGTCTGAGCGGTCTGGCATCGAGCAAGAAAGTTCTCTCCGACTGATAATATTTTGTGCGCCTTTGTCTTCCACCTTGACGGAGCTTACAGCCGTGTCATATCATCCTATTCTCAGTAGATCAATAAGACTATTGTCTATGCTTCTACGCGATATCAGGCAATGGGATTTCTGGACTACCAGCAAGCAGTGGATGAATCATTATGGGTCAGAAATTCTTCACCTCAACGTGGACTGGATGCTTCAGAACTGGAGACGATGTTTTGGCAATATAACCAACATTATCAAGACCAAACCATGATGGAAACCTCAGGAGAGCTTACGGCGCGTCTTTGTTCGGCTCTCACCCGGCTGCCAAATGTGGAGAGAGTCATCATATCGCCCAATGTCTTTTGCTATCTTGACAAACCCCTGTCTTCCCAGTATTTTCTGAATCCTGAACCAGCTTGTGATGGAGCATTTCTCCATGTCTGCCGCGTCCTTTCGCTGACAGATACCGGAATACGGGAACTTAGGATTGAAGATGCTGAGACTGAAGATCAAGAATGTAGTGGGTTGACTGCAGTGGCCTTCCGAGAAATCTCACTTCTGGATTCAGGCCATTGTCGTAATGTCTTCCGGGGCGTTCGAACGCTGGAACTGACAGCTGAAGGTGAGGAGGAAGGTGGCTGGATTATAGGCCAATTAGCAGACTTTCTGTCGTATGCCACCGGCCTGGAGAAGTTGTTGATTCATGGTTGTGTTTATGGTCCCCTTCACGCAAACCATCTTCTGAGCAATACTTTGTGGTGTTGCTTAACTACACTGATCCTCACTCACACAATTTTCGCCAGGAAGAACTCTTAGCTTTCCTGAGAAGGCATTCAAACAGCTTGAAGGAACTTTCACTCTTTGACGTCGGAGTGAGAAATGGCTCGTGGACGGCAATCCTGACAGCAATGAAGGCTTCGTTATCTCTACGCAGCATCGAATTCTGTGATCTGCATGAGACAAACGACGACGGATATAGAATAAACGTGTTTGTACCAGTAGCTGCGGTACAAGGTTACTTCTTAGGAGATGATTGTCATCCGCTGTTGTTGGGAGGCCAGCTTGACTCGGAGTAGCCACTGAAGAGAATTGTGGGTAGGCCATAAGGAGCTGCTGATGGCCGTCGAGTGGTGGTAAATCCTTCAGTTGTCAAAGGAAAGACCTTCAAGGATATCCTTCAGAACGAAAAAATCCCAAGGTCTTCTTCGACGTTTGCAACGATTCAGATGCCTTGTCCGCGCATTTGGGCATGGCGTTGCAGAGAGTGGAGGACGATCAGCTTAAACAGAGTACCACGAGGAATATCACGACATCAAGGGGATTTTTGAGTGGCCTAATTAAATGCGTTGAGGAGAATGTGCTCATGTCGCTCGATAACAAGACGAGCTAGAAGCAGGTAAAGGAGAGTGAGAAGCGAATATTCAAGATGGAATATTAGAGTTTGTATGAGGTTTTCAGCCAGTAGTCCATCCTCAAGGACATGATTTCTTCCAATGGTCATGATGTCCACAACCTCCCTAAGTTGTGTCATATCCATCGCAAGACGTAGTCTATGAAGGATTCATGAAGTGTATCTCGGCGTCTCACAAACCGGAGTAAAGACCATAGCATTAGAAAGGGCCATGGCTCCCTGTCGTAAAGACCAGAATAGGAATTTGGATGGGTGTAATTGGGCCCCTCCTTCTCGTGACTTCGCTGACGATGACAATTGGCATTTCGATGAAAGTGACGGTGGAGATGACGAGAGTTCCACCAGCTGCAGCGAGATCATCAACAATTGGGACTATTACTCTTCCAGCTGAACTTGAGGAACGTATCGATGATATTGTAACATAGTCGCTCAATGTAAATTTAAGAGAGTGACAACGCAGCCGGCCCTGCTAAGGTTGCAAGGGCTAGGTCATAGTCATTGTCAGGCAATTGACTTGTTACCGTTACAAACACCGCTCCATTGAGTCCCTGTGGTACATCCGCAACTCCCCTGCCTTGATCAATGATCGATAGTACCGTATACACCGGCGTATTCAGCTGATTAGTCCAACCAACAAACAGCTGTCTCCCTTGCTCGAAGACGAGCGGCATCTGCATCGGATCCCAAGAGAACGCCATGTCTGACGAAGTGACGGTGGTGTTCGCAGCGTTAACGGGGATCGTTGTGGAATTTTGATATGGCACGATGCTCGACGCTATTCCCGTGGCAGCTGAGGATCTGTTCTCTGCCGCAGTCGGGGTTGACACCGTTAACGGGGGCAGAATAGGTAGCGGGATCTCCGTTGGACATGACCCAGGCACAATAAATCGGAGAGCCAAGTTGTACGCCCAGATGTTACTAATCCCGGTGTCAAAGGGGGCTGGGTCAGGGACTCTGCCACCCACGTGGCGGAAGAAGGCGTCATGACGGGACTCGACCGTCACAATCGAAGCCACCGTATTGACAATCGAAGGATCGGTGTAAGAGACTCGATGGACCACGCCGATAAGAGCGCTGATGCCCAGTGAGGTAATGATATCTCCAAGAGCGATGAATTCATCAATAGACGAGACCGGGAAGGAATACTGGCAAGGAGCAATTACAGGGGCTCCATAGCCACTGAGCAGGTTCGTTATCGTTGCAACATGTACTTCCTCCTGCTGTAGAAAGCACAAAATGTTAGACAGGCAGAGACCCAAGATGGTCAACTTACAGCCACAATCTTGCTGAGAATTTTGGTCGTGTCATTTGGATAGCCCGCCGTTCCCCAGGTAGAGATATTTTCAAGCCCACTTTGAAAATAGGATAATTCCAGGTTCTCGAGAAAGAGGGCGAGCTGGAATTCCTTTACCGCTTCCGCTGACAACATGGGAGGCTCATTTCTGTCTGGAATCCCACCACCTGCCCCGTTAATAGTGTCTGAACAGAGTGGTACGGCTGCTGTAGTCGCCATTCTGGTTAATATGGAAAGGACGAAACAGACAGCTGTGGAACACGTTTGTGACAACATGATCGTCTTCAATGTCGAAAATTTTAGATGGCTTGTGGTGTAGAGATTAATCACATCCTCTCAGCTTCCGAGCTTCATGGCATATAAATCAATTCGTGTCAGACTAGGCGAGTGCGATATTTTGTTCCGAAGGGACCAATTCTAGTTCCGTAGGTGCTATTCTTGTCTCGCATCTCTCACAGTCTCAGGCGATCCTAAAAATAGCGATGGGATCTGGAGCTGTATACCAAACGTTCAAGACGGGAGGTCGCTACGAGTCACGTTAGCATTCAAGAAAATGCTGGAAGAACAGGTTTCCTGCTCAAAAAGAGCGAAAGTGGCGGGGCAAGTTCTACTCCAGAGATGAAGTGCTGAACAAGACGTACACTTAAATAAGAATGGGTTAAATCATAGAGAACTAGAGGTACTGTATCTGTAGAGGCTTTTGGGGTATGGATTCAAACGATTGTGTTGGTGGTACAAAGTGGCCATGGAATCAGATGAAAAGAGGTTTGGAAATGGCGAAGCTAAAAGAGGGCGATAAGTATGACTGCTGGCTCCGATGAGGCTCTGCAGGAGGAGGCTTCTAATTGTGTGTCGGTCGCTAAATACAGTACAGCCTTGCCAGATTGACATTGACTGGCTGATAGGTCTTGATAGGACGTACTTGGCTGGAGCTACCTTTCCTGCCATCCCCTAGGCTCGATGTACAGTCTTCGTACGTATTCAGCACCAACTTGAGACGAGAGGCGGAGCCACCTTCATACAATAGTATCATCAAATACAATCGACTACCAGAAGCTAGCCACCTTTGCCTGGTCCTTGTTGCCATCCGCTAGATACAGCGGCGGCCACGTCTCTTCTAACGCCAAATTGCTATCCCATTGAGCACGATAATCCAATGGCATCCTCTCTTTGCCAAGCTAGTCTGGCAGAGAGTAATCCTGTTCGATACAACAGCGCCCCTACCACGATCATTATGTGCATGATCTGGTGGCTAGAGCATAAAACGTCGAAAGCATCCCGACAGAATCTTTCCGGAATTCGCAGACAGTAAAAAAAGCCCCCAACGGAATTCAGGATGATCAGGTTCCTGTAGGACTCCAAGAGGACAGGGTGACAATGATTTCTTTCCCAGGAACGAACAACAAGCGTCATCATCGGTAGGGTTGCTGACAGTCCTAGGGCGAAGAAGGTTAATGTGCGCATTTGATGGCTTTCGGGATGCCTGAAGATTGGCCGAGAGACACACATCGTCGTGAGCAGGGCGGCTGCCGTCATAACGCCGATGTAGTATAGCTGTAATTGGTGGTCGCAATAGAAGGCGAAATAGAGAAAGGAAACCACTGTGCTCCAGAAGAAGATCACTATGCCGAAGTGGTCTAGTTGCTTTGTCAAAATCATGACCTTTCGGCTATGGTTGGAGAGGAGATGATGAATGAATGACAGGGTGAAGCAGACGATGACCCCAACGAAGAATGTGACGACTGCCACTACATCCAGAGTCAACGTTCCAGATTGGGCAAGAAATCGGACGAGAAACCATGAGAAGACGACGGCTGCTAACAGATGTGACCAGATGTTGACAGTCTCGTTATGCCATCTAGCAATGTCTCTCGTCGATCCATAGTAGGAGTATGAAGGTTTCCTGTAACCTGACCGGATATGCTTGTTCTGTTTCTACCATTTCGGCAGGCTTTTCCAGCGTAGGGGCATAATCGCACAGTGAACGTACAAGAGTCAGTGTGCTGCCCTAGAGCCGAGACAGTATAAGTTATATTCGGCGAACATGGACTTGGGTAAACCGTGAGGCCCCTTCAGGCCTCCACTTGCTTTTTGTCTTTTCTGAGGCTACCGCCTAAGATTCGATAGCCGTTTTGGGTTCCTTCTGGTGGACCCGAGGTGCGATATACCTCTAAGGGAAGCCTTGTTTATCGGTAAGCAAAGGTGGTGCAGAGTATTGCGGCTGCTCGTCCCATACACTCAACACTGGCTCAGATGCACACACGCAGAAAGCATTGAAAGGCCTTCGAAGCCGAGCAGCAAGTTGCGGATATGTCGGTAGATAAGTGGCCTCTACCAACTAAGTCCTTCGTAAAGGATCTCAGCGGGAACTGAAGCATCTATCAGGCTCATCGGATAGGCTGCGAACAAGACGTTCAAAGTACTGTAGGAGGAGGGTGTATCCACAGAAAAATGAGTAAAGTGGGTGGCTCAGTGAAAAAAAGGCTAGTGTCATCTCTTAAGAATAGTAAAGCAGGTTGCATTCATCCTGGTATGTTCAACCTTTGGACGGAAATTTCATGAGGAAACAATCAGTCGCCATCCTCTGACAAATTGAGAAAGTCAAACACGTCCTTGCAGTTCGCATTGGGAGAATCCATGCCAACATAGAGCGCATCGCTGTCATGATACTCGCAAAATGACGAATTCGCCGATCTGGATACTCGACATGGTGGATGAGCTCTGGGCGTATCTGCGGTCAGGGACGGCACCGTGGGAGACTTTGCCAGGAATGCGTCAACATCAACATCTAAAATGCTTGCCCCTTCATTCGGAGGTAGCTGAAAATCATCATCTCCGGACACAAAGGCGGAACAAAGGTCAGCTGATAAATCTGTCTCTCCAGCAAGATGTGACAGGAACGTGGTGTAAGGAGCCTCCCGAAAGGTCTCATGGGGAGCTAGAGCGAATTGCGAGGACGACTCCCCCACGTATAGGTCCATCTTATCCGCATCCACCGGCAGGTCGAAGACAAAACCAGACTCTGCACATTGATGTTGGTCGACATTGTTTGATTGGTCGAAATAACTCCATGATGTTGTGCCTGTGTCGAGAAAAGCGGATGGCGAATCCGAATCGGTCCTCCGTACTTGAGGGCTGGTTCTCGCATTGTACAACATCCCCGGAAGACATCCTTTCGAGAGGGTGCCGTGAGGTAGGGCGTGGCTGGTGTAGAAAGTGTCCACTAAGGACGTCAATGTATGCAAAAAGTCCGCTCGGCCTGCCAGTCGTAGCTCAACGCGATCCAGAAAAGCCGATAGAGCTGCCTTTGACATGGTTCGCATGCTGTTCTCTTTTCTTTAGTAAGGGGTTTCTAAGTGAGAAGGGTGGTCTTCATGTGAGAGAACTTACTATTCGTCTGATACTTCGTCCGGTATGAGCAAGAGTATTCCTTTCCCAAAGCGCTTGAAGATGTTCGCCCATGGCTGCCCTGCCGCCCTCCAGTTCTGGATCTTCCTGACAGCCGCGTATCTGGTCACCGCACCTCTTCTCCGCGCCGCTTTGCTCGTCTTGCCGCTTGGTAAGGCGTTTGGGAATAGAAGGTCCACGAAATGATCCATGGCCGCTCGTTTGTGTTGCGAATTGCGAGCTTCGCCGCCGGCCGGCGTCTTAGAATCCTGTTGGCCCGGTCTAGACCGTGGGCGCCGGATGCCACTCTTCATGTTCAAATATTGTGAGGCGCACAAGTCGTAAGCTTGGGAGAAATCTGCCAAAGTTAATCTTTTCCGTAGCCGAGATATCTGCTCATTGGCTTCAGTGAGGTCAAGTTTTTCTTTCAGGAGCCACAATTGCCGTATTGAGTCGGGTTGATCCGTCAAATGTTTTGGAATCCTTTCACTGCATCGTTCGTCGAAACTTTGCCAATCTTTTTGAGACCCTACGTTTAGCTCGGTGATTGTGTCTCTCAGCCCTTCCAGCACCCGGGCTTCACCTATACGGTCAATTATTTGCAACATCCCAGCTGTCAGAAGACCATCGTGGGTCACTCCTCGGTTCGATTTTGGCTCTTTGAGACCGGAGCTCACCGTTTTCCGCCACGTCTTCTTTCTCGACCGTTCAAAGTCCGAGCATTTCGACATTTGATCCTTCGTTGGTATCCAACTCAAAATTATCGGCAGTTCATCTTGATCTGATTGTGACAGGGCCTCTTGCGAGGCCATGGTCGATTCTTTTAGGTCATGGTTCCCCTGGCAGCCTTCAACGATCGGCAACTTCACCGCTGTAAAACCTTCCAGATGCGGAGCTCGTACGCTCTCCGGAGGAGTGGGTAGTCCATTGGCGAATTGAAAGTGGGACCCAGTGCTTAAGTGCTCGTTTGAGTCGTAACTTGGCTCTTGATCGTGGCCACAGTTGGTAGCACAATCCTGAGCAAGCACGCTTTGAAGCACAGATAGTATCGCATCATGGTAACTGGGGTTAGATTCTAACCAAAGACAAAGGTATAGATGGAACTAGACGATGCCCGTGGGTAAGTACTCTATAACTGGTCGACGAGCGGACAGGGGATTCACCTCATCCAAGCTGAAGAACAGATCTAACTGCGGATGGTTTGCCTGTGGGAGAGAGCCTATTCGGATTCTCAGAGCCATTAGTCTTAGGATGTCCAGGACTCGAGGTGTGTTAGGAGAGGGTCGTAGATTGACTCGTCTTGTGAATCAGCGGACACAAGATTTCATTTCGGCTTGGAGGACGCCGAAGTGAGGCGTTTGCTTGCAAATCGGGAGAAGAGCAAGGGAATTCCAATGCAGTTGTGGCTATCATGACCCTCGCAAAGGGCATGAAGATCGACCGACTTTTATCAACTTGGGCCAAGTTGATACGAAAATGGAAGGCTTCCAAATGGGTCCCCGCGCCAAACCCACCCATGATGGGGTCGGAATACCGAAAGGGCCCTTTCAAAGCCTACTATTCATAGCATTATCAGAGTCCCATGCTGGTCCCATGCTGGTCCCATACCAGACTGAGCGCGAGAGTAGAAATGATTGATTGTCAAGGATTGACGCAGAACGTGTTGAATTACAGTAATGCATTGCATGAGCCAACTGGGCCGGCAAGGGTGGTTCTCGCGCCGTCAGGAGTTTCCCTTCTCGTTGCCCAAACGGCTAATGAGCCATCTGAGGGTGTGGCTGCCCCAGCGCACAGCCCCCCGCGCTAAGAAGTAAGTGCGCACACTTTCGAGACTGGTTGCTCACTCTGTATATTTTTGGTCCGTCAACTCAAGCTGGATTTCCAGATTTCGCCGTCGAATTTCCTGCTCTGTCCGCAGAAAATCAGGTTCCTAACCCAAGATCTTGGTTTCGTGCACATGAAATGACCGAAAAGGGCCAATCGTGACCGTCTTTACCTCTGATATACGTGTGAACGACTTGAAGCGAACGAAATGTATTCATCACTACTTGTAACTATCAGAAGTCTGTGAAAGTAAAAGAATGGTAAATATCAGCAGCTGCCTTGAACAAAGGAACTCGTTAAGAGAGTGGAGTCCACCTATAAGCCAAAAGAGTGTATACTTGCAAATCAGAGCCCGAATGTCAGTGGCGCTGAGCAAGTAAATAACCAGACGAGGGATTGTCTGGAAGACGTGTCGACGGTGAAAACAAAAGAGTGACATGACCGCCAACCGTCAAGGTGGCAAACCATCACTCACTCTCCAAGTGGCCCAGGGATTGTACTGTAGATGGTCATCCACCCGTCAAAATTTCGACGAAGATGGTCCAGGTTCACAGATTCTTGGCGTTCATCCCTACTTTCGTCCCTCTGACATTCCTCTATCGGACTCCTCGTCGCGATCTTGGCATTTTCGCACTCAACGAACGTCCGCTTCTCGCTCTTCCCTGTTCCAACCTTTTCAATTCCTCCTTCAGATATTGCAGTCTGATTTCTTTGCCTTCCTCTTCGCTCTCTTCAGCTTCGTCATCATCTACGACAACTCGAGGGGATTGCCCTGCCTTCCTTCTAAAGCTGTCCAACTTTTCGTCCACGGAATCTATTCCAAATTCTTCGCCCAGATACGAACGCCAGTACCAGGTTGGCTCCCTCTCAGGAAATGCCACCCAAGCCATCAACATCGCCTCATCATCGGAGTCAGTTCTGACGGGAGCAACGCCGAAAATTTCCACGCGTTTCCAGCTCATTCCCCGTAATGAAACTTTGGTTCCGGCCTTGATGGCTGTCCCGCTCAAGACGTTCTGGTTCCTCTCGACGAAGCTTTTCCCGAATTTGCTCGCCCGAACGAACTCAAAGATGTCGTAGCCGTTGCGGCCATCTCGTCGAAGCAAGACTCGATGGCCGTATCCCGCCTTCATGTAACCGTACAGTTCCTTCTCAACCCCTCCTTCGAGCACGTATCCGTCCCTTTCGTTGAAGGCTAGGGATTTCGGCAACCTCTCCGATGGAGATCGCGCAGTTGTTGTGGCAGACGACTGCACATGTGGGTTTGGGATGGATTGCGTGGACGGGCGTGGTATTTCGATTTTCCAATGTTCAGGATAGCCACGCACTTGAAGGAAGGCTCTCAGCCACTGATTTATGTGTTCGATCTGCTCCCTAGCGTTTTCGTCGGAATTTTGCCGCCATCGAGCTAGGAGTGGGGCAGCCTTCTTGAACACACCTTGAAAGACAGTGAAATCGATCACGAATCGATTTGAGTTGGGAAAGCCATTCGCCTTGTTGATCTCCAGGATTCTTTGGTTCACCTCTTGCAGGCCGTTGATCGCTCTCTCGTCATCGGGATTGTCTGTGAGAACCCCTAGCAGTCCCGTAGCGACATCAAACGCTTTGCTATGATCATCGGTCAGTTTTTCAGTCGTGGGCTGGTTTGAGCCTGTCATGTGCGTGTCTCCTCCGTTCGACGGCTCCCCACCGGAGTTCTCATGACTTGCGTCATTTGCTGGCAGGGCGAAATTGTCCACCACCCCATCCCAGTCTCTCATCTTCGTTATCGCAGCTTCGTTAATTCCGAGGTGCTTTGCCGCATCGTTGACTCCTACATCCAATTGTCAGGGTGCAATTTTCGACATCTGGGACCTTTCGATGGCTCGCACTTACTGTGAAATGCCTCTGTGGCACGATTCACCTTGTTATATTTTTCATGCGTCAAGCAACCAAGCTTTTTGAAGGCCGCCATCACATCTTCTGTACTTGGGTTTTCATTTAGGATGCCGAGGATGCGTTGATAATCCGTCTCCAAGCATTTCATTACGTTCTCCACGGCATTGATCTGCTCCTGGGTCGGACCATTGTTCCCTCCCGCGGCAACACCTGCCTCTCCTTCAGGAGGCGGCGGGTTCCCAGTGCTTGCCCCTTGGCCTTGGCCTGTATTGGGTTGACTTTCAGCCTGACGCCTCTTCTCGTCTTCCACCAACCGTGCAGCGTCAGGGTCTGGGGTCTGCTCTGGTGTTGCCAGGCCATGGGCTTGTTGCGTCCCGGTATTCTTGTCACTGACAACAGGCTCTGAAGGGGAGTCGTTCGCTGTTGCCATATTTTGATACACTTTTGGGCAACGACTGGGGTTGTGTAGCGCCGGTGTCTCCGAGAGAAAAGGTTTCAGACCGATTCGCCGTGTAACCACTCGACCACCGATATGGAGGCTCTAGAGGGACAACTTCTAAGAAGGCATTTCAAAGTGCGAGTCCCTAGGCAGGGATACTATATACGGTGCAGCCTTGGAAGTGTTCGAGTCGGGCCTCTTTAGCACGTCTCGGCCATTGCCCATTTACACAATGTCTGGTGTCCTTTCTGGTTCCCCCTCAGGGCCTGGAGCAGGAAACGGTCCTAGGCCGCCATGACATTCGACGCCTGGTGTCCAGGTTTGGCTCTCTGGTGGAAGCAGCGTTGCAATTGTTGTCGCACATCCGCTGAGAGCGTCGAAGTCCCGTTGAAAGTCCGGTCTGAACTCCTGCCCTGTTTGGAGAAAAACACCACACCCAGCTCAGATCGAATTTTTGAAACGCGTAAATTTTTGTAATTTTCCTGATAAACCTACGTTATCTTAGGCCATTATCACGATTGACGCGTCCAAAACGCGTGTTTTCGTGGTAATGGCGCCCAGATGGCCACAGGTAAACAACGGTCCCGAACACATCAACGAGCATGCCACATACCTCAGAGAAGCATGTAACCAATTACAGGCAGCGGATAGAGGCAGGACCAATCAGATACCATGGCATGTAGTTCAGGCCTACGTCGAATCTACCCTGGCGCTCATTGGCAAGGTGTTGCAGCAGCCGTCCGTGGGTGAGGTGCTCCACCAAATCCGAGATGCGGCAAAAGACATCCAGACCATTCAGAGAGATGTCACGGCTGTCAAGAGCTCCATAGGACTAGGCACTACACCACTCGACTCTGCAAATTTCACTGGAGTCAAGACCGCACGGACATCGTGGGCGCAAGTCGCGGCGCAAGCCAAAAGCTCCTCGCTACCACCACCGCCAGTGCCAGTACAACCAGGATCACATACCGCCAAGACCCCTTCCACTGTGACCGCATACAGAGACCGACTGGTGACAGTCAAGCTCAAAGACCATGGCATGGTGCAACGGTACCGCAGCCATCCAGTTGCTTGGACCAAACAGCAAGTACAAAACTCCATACGAGACAACAACGGCACGAGATCGGTCAGGCTCGTCGCGGCGCACCAGCTCAAAAGCGGTGATCTGCAGCTATTCGCAAGCACAACAGCAGAGGTCCAACAACTCAAACAGAACACAGGATGGTTGAAAGGCCTAGGAGAGCACGCAGAAATAGTCGTGCCAACCTATGGAGTTATTGTCCATGGCGTCTCTACCAGTTCCATCAATGTCAAAGATCAGAAGGCGACCATCCAACACATGCTAGCAGACAACTATACAGTGATCCCCGACGCGAAGATATCGTACGTTGGTTGGCTGACCAGGGAAGGCCCCCTGAAACGTGCATCTTCCATCATCGTCGAATTTGCCGCCCCAGAGATGGCCAACGCCGTTATATATGCTGGTATGGTATGGGAGGGCCAGATACACCAATGTCAACTCTATGACCGCACCTGTAGGGTGAAACAATGCTTCCGTTGCAACCATTATGACCACATCGGCGCTCAATGTAACGCATTCCAAACATGTGGCTATTGTGCAGAGCTACACGAGGCCAAGCACTGTCCGCAAAAGAGAGTGGAAGGGTTCACTCCCCGCTGCGCAGTGTGCAAAGGTGCCCACACAGCATGGAGCACTACCTGCCCAGCAAGAAAGAAGGAATTGGAGAGAGTGGAACAGGCGAAACAAAACCGCAGTATCTACTGGCACGTCCCTGCCAGAGAGCACACCGCACGTCCAAGAGCAGAAAGCACTCACAATCCCCGCAACATCCAAGAGACGGCTTCATCAGGAAATCCGGTCCCGACTCCCAATATCCTGGCAAGGACAACAACAACCCAGACCCTTATGGAACCTACGACGACCGGAGCTACCCAGGCTCAGGAACAGGCAATGGCATTCTCGGAGCACGCGACGAACCAGCCAAGAAGTCATACAGAAGCACCAACGCAGGCACCTGTCGAAGAGATTGCGATTGAGGAAATTGCGACGCAAGCACTCCTCGATCTCCCTCTCGATGAAGAGTTCGCCACACCAGGGACACAGCAAGAGCTTGCGTCAGAGGAGATGGACTCGCTTATCGACCCACGGCTCAGAGCGATGGACGAACCTCTTCCGCCGACGCTGGCTACTGAGGACAATCAACTCGAGCCATCTTTGGACCCACTAGACACAATAGAAGTAGACCTCGGGATGCAGAATGCGGACTTCTGGTTGAGCAACGTGTTCAACGGAGAAAACGACGAGTGGGCGCCAGAGACAGCAGACGCAGAATCGTCACCACTTACCTCCGTGGCA